ATAAACCAGATTTTTACCAACAAATTTAAAAAATATTGTTATAACTACATAGACAACCCTACAAACCTGTACCTATTTATACTTAGGTCGTTTCCATTTCACGTATTCTCATCCCAATTGACCCCTTTTTCGTTGTTATTTGTACCTAAGACGTCCCCAATATCCCCAAAAACAACAGATTTTTACATGTATTTTTATTTAATCAAATACATTAAAACCAATAACAACTGAGACTTACCTTTAATATATATGCTGGTTCAAACACTAAATAACGTTTATAAATCATAGTCGTCTTCTATTATTATCAAATAAATAAAAGAGAGCAAAGTTTCTAGCACTAAAATAATTACCACCACAGGAAGTTAATTTGAAACGCGATTTTTTATAAGTTAGCAGCTATTATCATGCATATTCAGAGTTGTTTTGTGAACTTTCAACATTCTACTATTAAACTACAAAAAATGGAAGATTTTGCAACGAATATAAAACTTATATTGAGCGCCGAAAGATTTTCCCGGTTTTTTCCCGATTCGCCTTTCAATCCCTAATCGCCCCATTTTACCGGTAGTGATTACCGTACTTGCAAGTGTATAATCTATGGTACTTGCTCAGTGCGAGAGACGACGTGTTTGATAATTTTAAAGAATATTTCTACATATGTAATTTATCTGAGTTAAATTAATAACGTCAACATGGTCCTCGACTTAGACTTATTTCGTGCCGATAAAGACGGTAATCCAGATAAAATTCGAGAAAATCAGAAGAAGAGATTTAAAGATGTTGCCCTTGTGGATGCAGTCGTCGAGCAAGACACCTTGTGGAGGAAATTGCGCCACGAAGCTGACAATTTCAATAAACTGAAGAATGTATGTAGCAAAGAAATTGGTTTGAAAATGAAGAACAAGGAACCCAGTGGCTCTGAAGACGAACCCGTCCCCTCGGAGATCGCCAATAACCTGGTAAACCTCACCGGCGATAACTTGAAGCCTCTCACAGTAAATCAAATAAAAAAAGTAAGTTAAATTAAACACAACTAAATAAGGCTTCTAGAACGTGCTAACACAAATTTTATGCAACTTAGCTATTTCATGTAAAAGTGAAAGTGATTCCATATGGTGATAGCTAAATAATAGACTTGTCGGATTGCATTTTTTAATACTTTAATTAAGGCTTCATCTCAGTAATACTGAATCTCATGTACAGACAAACGAGTCAGCAACTTAGGTTACAAGTTGATAACTAAAATTCACTATTTATACTTTTTTGTAGATGTCTTAGAAATGTGTGTATAATAAATATGCTTCAGACTTCACACATTTATTCTTATTTTTTATGGTGCTCTTAGAAGGACTTTAACCCTAAAGAAAAATTATGACAAAAATGAAATTTCCAATTTATTGGCATATTTACTAATGTATGACATGTTATTAGCCTTGTGTGTTAGCTGTTATTAACTACACCAGCCATAATTTAATCCTGCATTATAGTTTGAAGGGTATGATGTCTTGTAAAAATTAAATTTTCATATTAATTAAATTAAATTAACATTTCAGGTAAGAATATTAATAGACAATGCAATATCAAAGAATGATGAAGGGTTATTGGCTGCTGAGAAAGCGCGTTCCGCTGCACTCAGGGAAGTTGGAAATCATCTGCATGAGTCTGTACCAGTTGATGATGATGAAGACCATAACTTGGTAGAAAGGACAGACGGAGACTGCGGCTTTAGAAAAAAGTACTCTCATGTGGATCTGATCTGCATGATTGATGGTATGCTGTGATATTGAAATTTATTTTGTACATAAAAATGCATTGGTATATTAATATGAATGTAATTAGAAATGCCTTACAAATTTTTGAACATTGTCAGGATTATTACACTTGTTAGACATATAAATTAGACAATATTCTCCTAATACTGAAATTTGCAGTTTTATTAAAAAATCAATAGTATCATTTTTCATCACTTTTAGCCTGAAAAGGGGTTTATTTTTCACAATGAACAACTGTGTAAACAATAAATGTTATTAGTAATAATAAATGTCATGTTGAATATACTTTTACAACAGCTAAAGAGTATGTAAACATTTTATCTTGAACATTTATAAATTAAAAAGAATTTTACCATGTTATTTATCAATTATGACATATTGTAATGGTTTTATGCTAAAAATGAAACGGTAGTAGGGCATCTTGTGAGCTCACACGAATAGGTACCACCAATCTGACAAATTCTGCAATGAACATTAATTCATTCTAGTTTAATGGGTGAATGAGGCATTTCTAATATAGAACTGAGTCTTAGAACTGATGTGTATGTCTATGTACTCTAATAACCACTCGACACCAGATGAATTGTGAGATCATTCAACTTCTTATTAATTTTTTTAAATTTTATAGGAATGGATGGAGAGAGGGGATCAGCTGTAGCAGGTGGTCGTGGTTATTATCTAAAAGGTCCTGCAGTATTCCTAGAACAAGCCCTCGTTCAACTTTCTCTAAGAATGTTACTTGAGAAAGGATATACGCCCTTGTACACGCCATTCTTCATGCGAAAAGAGGTACCAGTTTACTTTGAAGCACAAAAAGATATTAGACTGTAAATTTTTTGTGTAAAATGTTACTTAATTGAAATTGATTATTGCACAGCGTTAATTCATTAACATAAAGCAGGATTAAAATACTCTTTGTAAAACACAAGTCAAATATGTACATTGTATAGATGGCATTTATGCAAAAAAATTACCAATATTCCAATATTGTTACAGGTTATGCAAGAAGTAGCACAACTAGCTCAATTTGACGAAGAACTGTACAAAGTCATAGGGAAAGGTTCTGAAAACAAGGGCGACACTGTTGTCGAAGAGAAATACCTTATCGCTACATCAGAACAGCCCATAGCTGCTTTCCACAGGGATGAATGGCTTCCAGAATCATCTCTTCCCATCAAGTAAGTTACAGATCACCTTTATAGTCATGTTTTAATTAGTACCTAAAAATCATAACACAATGTTAAATATTGATAATTTGGACATGCCAAAAAATGAATAGATTTTTTTTTTATTGCTTAGATGGGTGGACGAGCTCACAGCCCACCTGGTGTTAAGTGGTTACTGGAGCCCATAGACATCTACAACGTAAATGCGCCACCCATCTTGAGATGTAAGTTCTAAGGTCTCAGTATAGTTACAACGGCTGCCCCACCCTTCAAACCGAAACGCATTACTGCTTCACGGCAGAAATAGGCAGGGCGGTGGTACCTACCCGTGCGGACTCACAAGAGGTCCTACCACCATTATAACAATATACAATATAACAACAATATATATTTACTGGTGATAAAGATAATGATTTATTAAGTGACACTAAATGAGTAAATTTACCAGTAGTCTAGAAATTCAGAGCTTATATAAACTGTGAACTACGAATTTTAACTACCATAAATCCTTTTTGACACCTACTTAATCGATAGTCTAAGGAACTATTTCAACTAGACTAAATTCAGGCATCTGTCAAATATCTACATCATTCCCTTCCACATCAGAAGGTTGCGTGTTCACATCACGTCGAGGTATACGACAAAGGGTAGATCTTCCACCGAGCGGGTGGATAATGCTCGGTAGACTGACGGTCCAAATGCTGTTGATCGGAACCTGTATTTAAGCAAGCTTACCCTGAAAATGTCGTAAGCGAGATTCGGGCATCTGTCAAATATCTTTGTGTTGTATGATGACTACCGCCACATCAACAAATTGAAGTTAGGACAAACAAAGTTACAAAGTCTAGGGGGTCCTAGACTTACATCCTAACTTGCCTTACTAGAAAATTGTTCGGTGTAGGTAATAATTAATAAATGTAAATTATTACTCAGATATGCGGGACTCTCCACATGCTTCAGACAAGAGGTTGGATCTCATGGACGTGATACGCGTGGTATCTTTCGAGTACATCAATTTGAAAAGGTTAGAAAAAGATTTGAGATTCATGAATGAGAACAAAAAATCATATTATAATATTTACGCCAGAGCTTACAGCAAGATTACATGCTAGCGAAATAAATGATCTTAATTTTTTTTCCTACCTGAGCTGATGGTATACAGAGACCATATCAGCGTAACCTTGACTATTAGTTGAGCTCACGGGGCTCAAACCTGACGATGTTGCTAACACGAACCCTAGCAAGAGCCGTGCTTCGCAGAATCTACCACCGGATCGGAAACGCGACCCACTGAGAAGATCCGGCGAGAAACTCAGTGGGCTGTGTCTGTGGGTTAGTTTACTCGCCGAACTTGTTGCTTGCGACGAAGAGCAATGAACGATAACCGGAGCTTGAGGTACTTGAAAGCACCGTTAGTGGACCGGGAGGATCCGAAATGACGTGTTTTGGCGACGTCGACTGTTTACCATTTGGTCCGCAGGATCGGCTATATAGTTCCCGGCGGCCACAATGAGAGGATTCTCGTGTCATGCCGCTTTATCGAAGTAGACAAAATATGTTTACAAAATGATACTAATGAACTCCCAATCATGTATGTCATTGAGCTCCTCACTCATTTGATATAAAATGGTTACTAGATCTTATAGACATTAAAACATTAATTTATTAAGACACAAGGTAATTTCAATTGTATTGTATAACAGTTGCCAGACCCTTCAAACTATATTCCTTGATTGCATTATAACAGAAACTAACAATATACTATTTCTTAATATTTTACTATTATTATTAATATTTTTATTAATTTTGTAGGTGGAACAATTTGTTCTAACATCTCCTCATGATAACGCATCTTGGCAAATGATGGACGAAATGATAAACAATGCTGAAGAGTTCTGCAAAGCACTAGGACTACCGTACCGTGTCGTGAACATCGTGTCTGGAGCTCTAAACCATGCTGCTTCCAAGAAGCTAGACTTGGAGGCCTGGTTCCCAGGATCCGGTGCGTTCAGGGAACTTGTCTCTTGTAGTAACTGTCTGGAGTACCAAGCCAGAAGATTGCTTGTAAGGTAATATTCAAACAAATTTTCTCATAAATAATTTCCTTTAGAAATTTGCACTCAAATGTTATACCTATCTTAGGAATGCGCCTGAAAGCTACCGATACCATTCATATATATAAAAGGCGTCATTTATTAAAATCTCAAAAGAATAATTCTTTTAAAAACTTGTGAGAAGAGTTTTTAATTTTATGATATGTATTGATTTAACACTAAACATACCATCACGGGTCAAATGACCCATTTTGAACTTTTGCATTAAAAATGCACATATCATCTTATTTCTTTTGCACATTTGACTTCATGACTTTTCTTACTAAATAATTTACAATTATTATATATTTTTTTGTTTTATGTTTATTTTTACTGTATATTGTATATAATACTTATAGTATACCGTTATCTACCCGCTATGGTAGAAATAGGTACCAGTAAGTGTTGGTATGATTAGTGTTAATGGATTTATTAGGTACGGTCAGACGAAAAAGATGAACGCTGCCACTGAATACGTGCACATGCTGAACGCGACCATGTGCGCCACCACCAGGGTCATTTGCGCCATACTCGAAGTTCACCAGACAGAGGACGGCATCAAGGTAACTGACATCGCATTCTAAGGTTTTCCTTTACGTCACACGCACTGCGATTATTCCCGAGTAAAAGCGGCAACATACGCATGTAATAGGTACACATTATTGTAAGTTGATAATACATGTCATAAGTATCAGAAGCATCTTTACAAATAGTCAAATTAATGAGATAGTTTACCTTATTAGCGTGAGCATAATATGTGTTTGAAGAGATTGCTGAGAAAGAAAAAAGGCAGCTATCTCCTTGGGTGTTAAAAAAAATGAGATTCCAAAATTAAATTACTGAGAAGTATCTTAATAAAGTATATTGGTCAAATTAGTAAAATTTAATAATTAGTTATAGAAACGTATAAAATAAGAGGTATAACACCGCTGCGTCCCAGCACCCAATTCTTTCATTCTATTATTGTAAGGCAGTAACTATTATTACCCTTTAATTACCGTTTTAGGTACCGGAAATCCTGAAACCTTGGCTTCCTAAGCAGTATCAAGAATTAATACCGTTCGTGAAACCCGCACCCATTGACGTGGAGGCGGCCGCTGCAGCCAAGAAAGGAAAGAAACAAGAAAAAAAATGAAAACCAATAAAAAAAAAGTTTCATTCCAAGCAAAAAGCTTCATATTTATTAAACTTGCTAAGCTTCACATTTTTTTTATCAAATGGAATAAATTAATTATTTCGTTTCTTCTTATTTTATTTAATTACATCGGTTATTTAACCCGCATCTTTCCTTTATCAATTTAAATTTAGGTTTATGACCCATGTAGATAATTATAAATGTAAATAATAGATACTGTGCTCTCTAATATCTCAAAGCATGTTTGAACAGTCGATTGTTTCATTATATTTGTACAATTAATTTTCCATTTCTGATATCAAATAGAAGATTCAAGAGTTTAATTCGGTACTATGAATAGACATGCTCACAGTCCAGAAAATATTGGGCGGTTTATCTATTGGCACCACAATGCCCTCCAGTTTGAGACACGATTGGAGTATCAATTGCATTGAAATACAACGGCCGCATCCATATATAAGCTTACTGACTGCTGACATACATTTTATTGTCTCAAAAAAACTAAGAATAAATTTAATTAATTTCAGGTTGTTATAGACCAAACTGTGGCTGGTATTTGTTGATAGTTTAAATAAACAACCCTGAATAAGATGGATAAAAAATAATATACATAACCAATTTTTTGAATATGCATACTTGCTTATACATATAATTATCAATGTTAACTAGAAGTTGCAAATTAGCGAAAAATTATTACTTGTATTAACAATTACAACTCGCACAATAACAATAACAAGAATTACAAAAGTAACAAATTGTTACAGCATTTGTAGAAATGGTAATCAAATGAAAGTTCCCCTTGAAATTTTCACTTTTATTGTGACATTCAATCAGTCCGTAGCAGGGTTACATTAACAATGAAAAACTTACATACTCTAATTTACATAATAATATTACTCTAGGTAGGTATATAAAATCGTTAACTAATAATATGAAAACATAATACAATAAATTTCAATTATTTCTTCTTTTTTAATTCCTTTAATGGCTGTACAAGCTCATGTCCCACCTGCTGTTAAGTGGTTACCGGAGCCGATAGACATCTACAACGTAAATGCCGCCACCCACTTTAAGATATCAGTTCTACGATCTCAGTATAATTACAACAGATACCCCACTCTTCAAACCGAAACACATTACTGCTTTACGCCAGAAATAGGCAGGGTAATGGTACCCACCCGTGCGGACTCACAAGAGGTCATACCACCAGTAATTACGCAAATTATAATTTTGCAGGTTTGATTTTTATTGCACGATGTTATTCCTTCACCGTGGATTTTAATTGTGGACATTTGTCAAGTAAGTTTTTCATTAGAAAAATTGGTACCTGCCAGCAGGATTCGAACACCGGTGCATCGTTAGATACGAATACACTGGACGTCTTATCCTTTAGGCCACGACGACTTCCTGAAAGATGTTTGGTGTTTTATGTACTTATCTTTGAAATGTGTTCTCAGCACTCAGAACATTGAAGATATACATAAATGCTTTGTTTTATTGTGTTATTATTTTCTGTGATAATTTTACATTCCAATTTAAGCATTTGCAAAATTATTAAGCTATATACTATATCTGATATTTGAGGTCTGCAGCCTCAATCATAAGCTTGTTTCTTATTAAATTATTTAAATAAATTTATACTTCAATTTCATGTTTCAAGGTTGGTGGTGCCATTGATTTTGTGACATCTATGGGCTATAACAAGTCAACACTAAGTGGGGCACCAGCTTGTTCACCGTACTATGAAATAAATTAAAAAACCTAATAGTTTCATTATCAATAGGTACAAGAAATTAACATTTAAATTTTTAAGCATACATATTTACACAATATTTATTTTAAGGCATAGTGTATAACAGTACTATATAATAACATTTTCCCTAACAACTTCTGCTCAATAATCATAATTACATAACATACATGATCATTAATTTTGCTAGCCCGTGTACATTGTAGGTAATTTCACAAGCCTTTATTTGATAATGAGTAAACCTCAATTTAATTAGAAGTATAGTATTCAGAACAATGTTTTTGATTACCCAATATTTTTTTTAAAATAATTGTATGACAACAGCCAAGTTACTTGGAAATCAAAATGACATTATCAGTGATTTACCTCATTATTTACAAGTTCGCTTTTCAATTATCTGCTATGGCTTTCATATTTATATCCAATTCAATATACTCAAAATGTGGATAAAAAAAATCCCATGTTACATAAGCATGCATAAAACAATCTAATAATAATCGTGATACAAGTTCAGTTTTATTATTATTAGCAAGCTAACTGAGCCTTTTGCCTGCATTTATGCATCAATGCCCTTAGTGTAAACTGTCGACGTGCCAATGTGCGGACTTGCTTCAAAAATGTGTCCAAATCTATAACTTCCTTCCGCAGAGCTTCACCCATGTAATAAATAGCATCTTCTAGGGTAGCTTCTTCAGCAAAAGCATTTAGAAGTTGGGAATACAGTGGTGCAGTTGTCACTACTGCTTCATCAACATCCACACCCTCCTGGTCAGCCAAACGTTCCACAGCTGCTTGCAACTCTTTTTCCTTCTCTTGTAAAATCATTACATTCTTATCTAGTTCTGAACGCTCCCTTTGAAGTCTCGTAATTATGTCTTCAATCCGAGACTTTCCTTCGCCAAGTTCTTGCTGAGTCCTGCGTAAGGTTTCAAGTTCAGCCTGTGATTGTTGAGATTGTTCTTTAAGACGTCTTCTTAATTTGTCTTCAACAGCAGACAGTAGCGATGCTTTAATATGCTCTTCAGTAATGGTACCCCCAGCCCCTTCTGTACTAGGACCATATTGTGATGCAGGGGGGTAAGGTGTAGTTATTGGTGCTGGAGGATATGGCAGACCATTTGTACTCGCTGTTCCAGGATATGGTGAACCATAATTAGGATATGGTAAACTTGAAGTTGTAGGATATGGTGTTGTAGTAGGATACCCTGGAGTAGGCATTGGTAAGGGATATCCTGACGATTCTGGCATAAACGGTTTCGCAGCGAACATAGGCATAGCAACATTACGTGGCTTAGAATACACCGGAGGTAATTCACCAAATGCTGTAATCATGCACTGCACCAGATTCTTCAAAGTGGAAGAATTCGAAGACCACTCGTGAAGATAAGGTAAATAAACTTTTCCGTTAGTGTCAACGTACTTCGATACCTTGATAGACATGTCAGATGTCGGTTTCACAAAACACAAAGGCGCATTTTGAGGATGAGTGTCCATGAGCCATATTGACACGGGTATGTTATAAAAGGCTCCTTTGTAATTTACGGGAATTGTACCTTCAATATTCAAAAGCTCTTTTCTGGAACCATTATTAAAGATAAATGCTTCCAAACGATAAGTTAAGCTTCTGTACACTTGTAGCAAGTTAATTACTTCTCGAGAAGTGAAGTCCCGATGTTTATATTTCGATAACAATTGTTTCAATACAGCTTCGTGGTTGGTCATTTTTTTTCGTTTTGTTCAATGCTAAAAACAATTTAACAGCACTAGAAATGTTAATACACCACAAATTCTTAGTTCAATAAATTTTCAGGGGCGGATTTGTCATCACTAAAGTGATTTTTTTTAAGGGATTTTATGACATAGTAACTAAGACTTTTAGGTCATGTCTTATTTTAATATAAATTCTTATTTTTATGAAAAAAGTAAATATGGAGTGAAATGAAATGAAGATAATTAATTTGAGACATTAATCAACTGGTATGATATAAGATGAAATGAAATGAGATGATATGGGATGATATATACCTTTTTTTTATTGTTTAGATGGGTGGACATCTCACAGCCCACCTGGTATTAAGTGGTTACTGGATGGTTAAATTTCCTAACTCAGCATACTTCAATCAGTTAACAACTGCTCAATTCATATTATACCTTGTACCTATGCTAGCGCCATTCTGGGGGATTTTTGAACTGTTATTTAGTGCTGAAAGTGGGACACTTTTTCAAGCTTCCTCCCATTTGAGACGGTTCTCCTTACCCCTCCCCTCCATAATTGTTCAAATGCATACTGTCAAATATATACATTTTTTGGCGGGAACGCGACGAGTGAAGTTGTGTGATTTGTTTTATTTTGTCTATTTAGTGTCTGTTCATGTTTAAATGCGTAATAAGGGTGGTTTATAAACTGTTTAGTATCTGTGAAAATGCACAAATGTGGGAAAATAAATAAAGCCTCTGGACGTAACTTCTCGGGATCCTCCGAAAAGTCAATTGAAAAAGTCTCAGTAAATTTTATTGAGATTATATTTCATTCTATTTGATATTAAAAAAAATTATAAAAATATATATAATATATAAAAGATTAGGCTATATGGTATGACACCTTTGCATTTCCAATTGGAAAAATAAAACTACTACTACTGCCAAATATGTCAAATTCACTCTTGAGTGACATTGTTTCATTTGTTTTTCTTTTCAAGTGAGCTGCCAACGTCTCTGAACGTTCAGGCGGTAGCCCTTGCGGAATCCAAACCCATCCATTTGGATTTAACGTTATTATAGTATAAAGTTGAACTAAGTAATCAACAAAATGCCCCCTAAGTTTGACCCAAATGAAATTAAAATCGGTAAGCCTCGTTTCCATGTGTAAAATACGTGAAGTGTTCTACCAATTATTTTATCAACAAAATGTGTATTTTACAGTGAATTTGCGATGTGTCGGCGGGGAAGTCGGTGCCACATCATCTTTGGCCCCTAAAATCGGTCCTCTTGGTCTGGTGAGTAAGAAATATTTATTAATAACACAACATAACCTCGTGTATGGGGATGATATACAATTTCATAATCTGTCTGTATTCGCTCATAAGCGGTGCAATTGGGTTTGCTACAACTTAAAATTACGTACATACATACAATACTTCAATGTGGTTAGTTAATTTTTGAAATTGCACCGCTTAAGATTGATCCTGGGGGGTGCCTCCCTACCAGGCGCGTCCTTCCGGGTGGCGGATGGAAGGAACCCGCGACTCAGGATACCTCACCAGTTTCCCTGTCGCGGCTACTCCGAATGCCCAATAAGGAGTCGCGGACCAGGCTTATTACCATGATATAGGTTATTTTAGGTGGCTTCGGCTGGAAAACGTGAGTGGCGAGTACTATAGAATTTGCCTCTTAAACCATGTAAATTTTAAAGAACATAATTGGTGTCAACATCATTCTAACATCTGATACTTAATTTGAGTTGAGTAAATTGTTTTGATAAATGACTACTGAATTATATATTTTGTTGTCCTGAGTAAGATGTAGTCATCATCATTCTAAAACTGGGGAGACGCATTTCAAACCTGTAATTGTTATTGAAAAGGTGCTGGTACCTGACAGTGCGCCCAGCTTAAATGAAAACAAACAATGTGTTTTACTTGTTAAATTAATACTCTAACTTTGTACCTATTTTGTTTGTATTTTTATAATTTTTAGTAATTTAACTTAAAATATGATGGAAGAATTGTGTTACACCATGGAAATTTATTTTGTACAGATCCAAGTAAATGTTTCTACAGTAGCCCTTTTAACAATATTTTTGCCTCACAGTCTCCTAAAAAGGTGGGTGATGACATTGCCAAGGCCACAAGTGACTGGAAGGGTCTCAAGATCACTGTGCAGCTGACAGTTCAAAACAGACAAGCCCAGATAGCTGTTGTTCCCTCTGCAGCAGCCCTTATCATCAGAGCCCTTAAGGAGCCTCCTCGTGACCGTAAAAAGCAGAAAAATAGTGAGTATACAAAATTACTATTAAATCATTATCTAAGCAAAAAAAAAACCAGTATTGTGATATCAACACAACTAAACTCGTAAACTTGGAAATTTGAAATTAGAAAAAAGTGTGTATTTTATAAAAACGCATCAGAAGTGGTTAAAACTTCAATTAGGTAGATGATTAATTAAAATGTTTTGCAAGGGAAACCTAATTTTAAATGAATTTTAGGCTTGTGTATTGTGTTAAGTTAACATTTAATTATGTCTTACACTACTCATATTACTTATAAATTTATTTAACACATGATAATTAGTGTTAAAGCCTAATTATATCTAAGGTATCATCAAAATAAAATCTTGTAAGGTAGAAGAAAATAATAAGAAATGTGTTTAAAAATTAATTCAAATGAATTTATGAAACTAAATACAACTTTTGGAAGTGTAATATAAACGATTTTTGTTTTAGTCAAACACAACGGCAACATCTCCCTTGAAGATGTAATCGGCATTGCGAAGATCATGAGAAACAGATCAATGGCCCGGTACCTTTCTGGCTCAGTAAAAGAGATTCTTGGCACAGCACAGTCAGTTGGATGTACAGTGGAGGGCAGGCCGCCACATGATCTTATTGATGACATCAACAGCGGAGCTTTGACCATTGATGAATAAATGTTTCTAATATCTATATACACTGATTGTTTTTTTTAAACAGTTGTATCTCAGTACCTACTCTATTTCATACTCTGTGTAGATTCCTTTCCATGAGTAAATGTAGTGCTAAGTTAACTGATTGCCAGGGAGACTTGAATATGAATATTGAGCATAATGTATCTGTTGCCTGATTAAGCCATTATCGAGTTCAGAAACATGACTAGATAGATACCTTAGTGGAATCAAACCTTAATACCTTCAGAATCAAACCTTAATACCTTCAGAATCAAAATTACCGACGCGCCAATAACGAGTAGAATCAGGGTATTTGTGTGGGCTTTTCAAAAATTCCCACTGATAAAATCGGCGGTACTACCTTAAAAAGTAGCAAAGTGTACTAGGTATCTATTGTGGTAGGGTGTCTTGTGAGTTTGGGAGTGGGAATCCACCTTTCCTATTTTTGGCCGTGAAGCAGCATTGCATTTACGTTTAAAAAGGTGGGGTCATTGTGCAGTAAAATTTGGAAAGTTTTTTAAAACTTACATTTTGGGCTGGGGGTCGAACCTCCGATGGGGCGCGCTAGGTATTTGGAACTGGACGGAAGGCGGGACGAAGGAATGGAAATTAAGGCCCTACGCATTGAACGATCTTCACTCTAACCCAATTGTATAAAACTTCGCTTTATGGATTTTTTTATTAGCTTTGTAATTATACACATATATAGCCTTCTGACACTGCCTTATCAGTACTTAGTGCGAGTTTCTTAACGTTCTCAATAGCGTAAAAGTTAAGCCAATTTTGTATGCAGTTGGAACAGCGCATCTAGCGGCAAACGCAAATGATCCCATTCCATACAAATATGAGCTAACTTTTACGCTATCGAGAACGTTAAAAAACTCGCACTAAGCACACGGAAGGCTCAAAGAGCAATGAATAGCGTTATGCTCGCAGTTTTCATTGCAAAGTTGAATCAGGAATGCGGAGATTCGCAGAAGAACCAAGGTGACATAGCCTGAAGGATTGCAAGATTGAAGTGGCAGTTTGCAGAGCACATTGCTTGTGGAACAAATGGCCGCTGAGGCCAAAAGTTCTTGAGTCGCGACCGCATACCGGAAATCGCAGCGTGGGCCGACGATTTGCTAAAAGTTGTGGGAATCCCCTGGATGCAACACCAGCGCCAGTGCCGGGAAGACCGGCTATAGTGGTGAATTTCCGTGGAGGCATACGTCTAGCAGTCGACATCCGTGATTGACCGTGATACTGAAAAAAATATTGTGTATGGTCGCCATCGTTCACGCACGTCTGGAATGTCAGGTCACTGCGTACCGTTAAGTACTCTCCAGACCAGACACCAAACTGAAAATTGTGCCATAGTTGCACAATAATTGCAAAATAATCTGTGAAAAGCCGTTGTGGATAATCGTGGGTGCGTTCCACTAAGCGTTCACAACGATCACGCTCACGACCGCAATTTTTCCCGTTCCACTTGTGAGCGTTACGGCCTGGCCACCGGGATCGGCGGTGCGAACGACGAAGCGGTGGATGAGGCGACCATTCGCGCAGCACCGTTTGCAGACCACGGGTACTCACGTTCGCCGCCGCGACTAGTTAGGAAGTCCGACAGCGAAATGTCTATAATATCGAAATTATCTCGATATTACTTACAAATTAATAGTTTTTTGGTTCACGACCTATTATTTGGAAAATATTGTGGGGTACATGATTTGAATAAGAATCGGAGTATAGATGGAGAATTCCACAAGAAGTACGAGAAATACTTTGGTTGGCAAGACATCCACTAAATCGTTCATTACAATACGACCGACGTAACTTGGCGAGTCTGAATATAGCTGCAGGTGAACTTTCGCGCATGTACACTCTTAAAAAAAAGTGTTATTAGCATTCATTTTTAGTAATATAAATGACAAAAATATTATTTAATATAATTCATACTAAATATTATTAAATTATTAACGTTAAATATTTATTATTAATTATTTAATATTTAAAAAAAAGAAATAAATTTAATAAAAATAAAGTATAACTTCTTACGCGCGTACATAAGTACACGCTGCCTTTTCAGATGGGTCGTCTTGAGCGTAAGTCATGACGTCATAAGTGACGTTTTCGCCGCGACCACAACAACCGCGGTCGTTATGTGGAACGACTAAAGGAGCATTTTGATCGTTGTGGGCGCTTAGTGGAACGGACCCGTATCGGTTCTAGGGCAACGGAATGTATTTTTTGTGATGGTTGGTATGATGCTAAATCGGGTAATTTCGTGATGTGTTTCTCTCACTGAAGTAGGAAACTATATAGGTCTATGGTTTCTCTCAAATATATTAAGTGTATAATCTATGATGTGTTTCCATGTCACTTGTATGTCTTTTGTCTTAGATTGCTATTATTGAGAATAAGTTTTAATAAGAATAACTAGATTGGATATTCTTTAAAAAAGGTAGTATTGTTTTTAATTATAGACATATAATTACTATGTATGGCAACTGTTTTTCTTTAAATTATCGGGGTGCTTAATAACGGTACAATTCATAGACGATAAACGCAAATCATTAAAAGGTATATGCAATAATATAAGAACTACATACCGTATATAACTTCGATTCCTTTCCTTTTAATAGGTAATATGCATGTACTTAATAAGTCGTAAAAAATAGTTGCATACTTTTTTTTCTTTTTTACTTTGAGTACCTACTCTTTAGGTTGGACAACCCTGAAACTACGACACATTTAAAATTAAACAAACATTTACTTTAACAACAGTAAGTTATATTCTTTGAATAAACTTCTTTAAATTTTGTTGGTATTTATTTCCTGACCAATTAATCCATCTTCCGTGATAATCATGATTAATAAAACCAAGGTACTGTTTCAGTAGTGCATAATAGTCATTGGATCCCATAATATTTAACTAGATAATGACCGACAAATAAAACAACATTTTCTGAAAATAAATCGTAGCTAGATCGATTTATCGCCCCCGAAATCCCCTGTATACTAAATTTTATGAAAATCGTTGGAGCCGTTTACGAGATTCAGATTATAATTTACATATTATTATAATATAAGAATTTTATTTATTAGATTGTAGACAAGAATTGCTCGAGATATAAGATTACCAACTACATAATTAATGTAGACTTTCGAAATTAGTAGATTCAGGCAAAAATTGCAGAATATACAAATTCTAGGTAGAAAAAGCTAGTGTATAGTAGTAACACTGTTCCCTCCAAGCAGAAATGTCAAAATGGCGTCACCGCAAGACTGTTTGTATATTTCTTTACTTGGTTTAGCGGAACATTTTCGAACTTCTAATCCCCCTGACATAAAAAGTTGTATCCAGTGCTTACAAGCTGTGTTTAATTTTAATCCGCCAGCAAGGGTAGAAGCCAGGACTCATTTACAACTCGGTAATATACTTTTGACACACACCAAAAACATCGACTTGGCGAGAACGCACTTAGAGCAAAGTGTAAGTTTTTGTTATTGTTTTTCTTACCTATACAGGTTTTCGACTCTGTGAGAGAGAGGCTTTTGTACTGTCACAATAACCTTCTTTTTTTTCGAGTAGTAAGTTTGGTTAGAGAAATAAACAAGTAANAGGACTCATTTACAACTCGGTAATATACTTTTGACACACACCAAAAACATCGACTTGGCGAGAACGCACTTAGAGCAAAGTGTAAGTTTTTGTTATTGTTTTTCTTACCTATACAGGTTTTCGACTCTGTGAGAGAGAGGCTTTTGTACTGTCACAATAACCTTCTTTTTTTTCGAGTAGTAAGTTTGGTTAGAGAAATAAACAAGTAACAATGTGAAGTGGGTCATTAGTTGTGAAATAAATTTATTTATTACAGTGGTGCTTATCACAAACTACAAATGCTTTAGACGAGTTCAAGTTCGAGGCAGCTAGCGTTCTTGCTGAGCTATTTGAGCAGCAAGGTCAACCTGCACATTCTAAACCAATTCTAAGGAAAGCAATAGAGTTATCACAACATAGTGTATATTGGCATTGTAGACTCATTTTTCAACTGGCTGTGAGTATGTCATATTATTTATTAAACCTATAATTTATAAATTTTATTAAAAAATATTCAAAGAACTGCCTAATATGACCAACTTTTGCATACTTTAAATTTATATAATTTTTTTTTTCAGCAAATACATGCTACAGAGAAAGAGTATGAAGTGGCCAGTAGTCTACTTGGTGTTGGTGTGGATTATGCACAAATATCAAATGTGGCATATACACAAGTACTGTTCTTGTTAAGTAGGGTAATGGTAAGTTCATATTTTTCAATAGAAAGTAACATTGATAGCACAAATAGGGCTATTTTTGGAGCCAATCATAAGATCAACATAAATATTAACCATTAAGTTAAATTAAAAGTGAAGGGCTTAGGCCCCGTACTTAGGTACGAATGTAAAGGCACCCTTTTCTTTGATAGTGGTAGAAGACATTGTAAGCCTGTTGTCACACAATTTAGATTTTTAAGTCATATCCTCTGGTGGATGAATTGATATTGTAACGACATATTTATGGCCTCCATTAAGCACTTTACACCATGAGCGGTGAGCACATTCAACTGTCTAAGCAATGAAAAACAGCTTGCTGTGTGCTTACCCTAAAGACTGTTTCCTATGTCATGAGTACTTGATACTTTTTCTCTACCTGATCGTTGGCAGCCAACATTAAAGGCTATACCAAGTACGTGAAGATCAGTTGATCAACTCACAGGCTTATCCAGAATTGCTAACGCTGGCCTTAGCAAGCGCAGTGCTTTGCTGAATGTACCACCTCATCAGAACCGTAATCCACTGAGAATCATGCGAGAAACTCAATGGGTTGCTTGCATCAACATTGCTTGCATAGATCATGACATGATTTGCAGGTTTTGTATAGTGTCGCCTTGTTATGAAGGGACAATTTACTTCGCTTGCAAATTACGGGGTAGAGCCAGCCAAGTGAGAACGTGGCTGGGTCGCAGACTGCCCTAATATGTGGACGTAATATTATCCCGTTGTCGAAGGTATGCCTAGGAGGTACTGAGATTTTGAAGCAAATGGAACAGGCTGGCCAAAGATTTTGATGATGGGAATGGAGCAGCAGTGTCAGGAGTGCCCCTTTTGACGAGTACTGCTTTTCTTTTCGTAGGGATCATGTTGATGCGTCATTTACGGAACCACTGTCTTTAATTAGTGGCTGCGATCTGGAATTTACTGTGGATGAACGACATCTTCCTGCTTGAGTAGTAGATAGTCGTATCATTGTCGAAGAGGGCTAACTGGGTCGCCGGCGACCGTTATGTTGTTATGCCGTTAATGTATAGGCTGAAAAGTAACGGGGTCTTGTGGGTCTCCGACCGAGATCTGACGTGGGAGAGAACAGCTTACCTCTGCTATATACAGAGACCGAATAGTTCGACAAGAAGACTCGGATGATAAGAGCGAGACTGTCTGGCACGCCCATGTTGTAGTTTGTAAATCAAACTAGATCGATATCGAAGAAAAGAAATCCCGTGCGGACCGGTGTTTTTTTAGTCCTACTTAGATATACTCTGTGAGGCGGAATCCAAACTGTTCGTTTATGAGGATATAAATAGACAGATAGTCTCAGGGGCCTTTACGAATCAGTTGTTCGTACCGTTTGCCTATCGCTGGGAGGAGGTTAATAGGGCGGTAGCTTACGGGTTCGGGAAAGATGCAGTTCATAATAGCGGCATATAAAACAGAGCCTAACATAATTATCTGTTGTCCACCTAGTCCTCAGTACACTTGGTGAGAGGACACGAATCCTTTAAAATAGCTTTCTCATCTTGTATTTCTGGCTTTGTCTAGGCAAGATTTGACGCTCTGCTGTCGACCATGAAATCGAATTTGGTTTGATTCGGTGAGATAACTAACGTAAGCGGGGATTGACGCGTTTCTGACTCTTAAGAGATTCCTGAGCTCGGGGGACAGTCTGACGCAGTGGAAGAAGTCCTCCACATAGAGTTGATGGGGTGGATTGCCTGTCGCGTTATATCGTATTATATATCATGATCATGATATTCTGTTACAATGTTAACCAATAATAACAAACCAAAATGTGTTTCTGGATCATTGGACAATTAATGTTCCAAGAAGATAAACTTCAGGAATCACACCCTGCAAAGTTAATAAAATTTAAGAAATAAACGAATACATCAGTGTCACTTTAATCCCCTTGGGAGTAGTGGTAAAAAGCTTCACAAACTCAAATTTAAAAAATTGTCCCACTATGCTAATTTCCAATTTAGATTTAATCGCAATGAGGGAAGAATGTTAAATATACTTTTTTAGTGCCTATCTACATACAGAACATATATACAGAAATGGAATGGGTTGCATGCACTCTCTGGTCTCAAGCTTTTCATTGTTGCCCAGTGAGATAACGTTTTTAAACAAGTGTGTCTAAGTGAGTTTAAGTGTTTAAGTTTTATAAAACTGAAATCAACTTGCTATATAGGCTATGTTACAAAGAACATAATAGCTACTTCTGTAAAAAATTTAGTGTTCAAAGCTGTTTCAATTATTCAAAATCAATGTAGATTAAATATTAGGTATACAATTTTATTTATATTTCAAAACTTTCTTATTTTCAGTTATTATTAATAGATAAGAAAATTCAAGAAGTGTTACCATTATTAAATCAAGCTGGACATTTAGTAGATTCTTGGACAGGTAGTCTACACCAAAAAGAGTATCTAAAAGTGTTCTTTTTAGTTCTACAAGTAAGTTATACATAATTTTTTTGTATGTTTATCATACCCCTTTCTTTTTATGGTTTACCTTAATGATTATGATAGTAAAAAATCCACAAACTTTTTATATATATAGGGTAAGATTGGTAAGATGTAGATGTTATCTGATAGTTGTCTAAAAGATCATATTGCAAGATTTGGGTATATGACTGTATCCATTTATACTTACTACTAAGTCCTTATTGTTCTGGAGTAGTATTGTCATTTTGTTTTGAAACATGATACATATGGTTTGTAATGTATAAGAGCCTCAAAAAAACCTGATAGTTAATATTCTTAAAAATGCTTAAAAGATGGGTGTGAGTGCAAATAGAGAACTAACTACCTCCTACTAATAAGGTTTTCAAAAAAAAATTATTTTATTGAAACATAATTTTTTCTTTTACTAGCAAACCCTGTAGAAAAACATACTTTTAACTAGTAACTTTTTTACATCTATGGTTTTCTCGAAAGTAGTTTTTACTGTATAAAAATATGTTTAGTGAAGCATAAGAAAACTGTCTGGTTAGGTGTTTAATGCTAAAATTTTGTTGAATGGGAATAAAATTGTTTTTCAGGTATGTCACTACCTTATGGCAGGACAGGTGAAGAGTGTGAAGCCATGTCTAAAGCAACTGCAACAGAGCATACAGACAATAATGGCACCGACATGGCCTGATGATGATGGTAATTTAACATTTTATAGATATGTAAGCCTGGCATTGTTGGCTCTAGCATAGTTATCATTCACTTGATTCTTTTAGAGGATATTTTGGTGATATTGAGTTTGGTATCTTTACTAATCATGTTTACTCGTAAGTATAGCTAAGTAGTTATCCAGGTAACCAGATTCATCATGTCTAGGCTTTGAGTCCTGAATGCTAGTTAAAAAAAAGTACTTTGAAGACCAAAGTATATGCATGATGTAAAAATTCAAAGAACATATGTTTCTTTTTTTTTATTGCTCTTTTAGGCAGACGTGCATATGGCCCATCTCATGGTGAGTGGTTACCGTCACCAATGGACTTCAGCAATGCCAGGGGCAGAGCCAAGCCGCTGCCTACCGGTTAATACTCTCCACAAACCTCGTTTGAAGAAGGACATGTCATAACGCTCGGGAAACACCGTGGAGAGGAGCTCATTCCATAGCCGGATGGTACGTGGCAAACAAGACCTCTGGAAACGCACTGTGGATGACCGCAGTGGCTCCAGGTAGTACGTACTCACTTTTAGTTAATAATAATGAATATATCTGTTCAGCTGTGTGCGGTACGGTTCCCGGCGAGTCGTTCATCTGGTTGTCGCGACAGCAGCTGTACGTCCTCGTGTACCTGGTCACAGTGATGCATTCAGCACAAGCCGGCTACATGGACAAGGCGCACAAGTACACAGAAAAGGCTCTAGCACAGATTGATAAACTTACTTGTATGTCAGACACAATATATTTTTAATTTTTATTTACACACATAAAATTTAATTTTTACCGATAGATACTGAAACTTTTATTTATTTAAAACACTGTAGGCAGGTAGGCGGTGGCTTGGCTCTGCCCCTGGCATTACTGAAGTCCATGGGCGACGGTAACCACTCACCATCAGGTGGGCCGTATGCTCGTCTGCCTAAAAGGGCATAAAATTTTTTTAAATAAACCTGTAATTTCTTAACAGTTTTACTGTTTAAAAGTTGAATAGCAAAGTTATGGAAGGTAAATTTCTTGATTTGGGCAATAGAGATCTGCTGGACGTGGCGTACCTTAGGCCATGCTGATGTCTAGTAATGCATGTATTTGTTCCATCAATTGACTGACAATAATAATACATTTCTATCTCTGGCCACTATATCGTTTGTACATATTTGGGTAGTTCTAACTGAAATGGGTATAGTGTTGTTGGGACTGTGGAGAGTTGCTGCAAATGATTGTCGCAAAAACGTTAGGCTACGTTCATACATAGTTTCCGTGTATACGGTACCCGTTTTAACGGATACGACAAACAATTATGCTTTGTTCACACATAGGCACCGTATAATGTTCAACTTATCCGTCATCACTGGATGCGATGTTCACAAGCAAATTCGTAGTATACCGCCGCTGTTTTACCAGGATGAAACTTGTTTGTCTAGCTGTACCGCCCGCCGGCCCCCTCACCCCCGCACAGTTTCTATCCGATAAAATTGTACGGAAACATGACGGATACGTATTCCGTTCATCCAGTATTCAATGACAAAACGGAATGTCATAATTTACCGGACCGTTTTTTTTACTGTATACTGAATACTGTACCATATGTGAAGTCGCTCATGCAACTCCATGCTCCATCGATGAAGAAAAACATATCCGACAAAATGGACCATTAAAACGAAGACCATGTGTGAACGGGCTGTAAGGCAGTACCCTATACTGCACCCACTGCATGGCGTTAATGACTAATCGCCTACCTTGATTACAGCGAGCGCGGGCGAGGAGGCTGGCGGCGCGGAGCGGCAGTCCCGCGGCGCGACGCTGGCGTGGCGGCTGCGCATGGCGCTGGTGGAGCACGCGGCGCTGTGCCGCCTCGTGGCCGGCGGCAAGGCGCACGCGCTCAACGAGATCGCACGCGCCGCGCACCTGCTCACCGTCGCGCCCACGCGTACGTTCCCGCATCTAATAACATGCTTTTGATTTATATTTTTTTTATTGCTTAGGTGGGTGGACGAGCCCACTTGGTGTTAAGTGGTTACTGGTCAGTATAGTTACAACGGCTGCCCCACCCTTCAAACCGAAACGCATTACTGCTTTACGGCAAAAATAAGCAGGGCGGTGGTACATACCCGCGTGGATTCACAAGTGGTCCTACCACCAGTAATTACGCATATTATAATTTGCGGGTTTGATTTTTATTACACGATGTTATTCCTTCACCGTGGAAGTCAATCGTAAACATTAGTTGAGTACGTATTTCATTAGAAAAATTGATACCCACCTGTGGGATTCAAACACCGGTGCATCGCTCAACACGAATGCACCGAACGTCTTATCCTTTAGGTCACGACGACTTTAATTCGATTATAATTAATTGAAATTATAAGTTTGTCCACTATTATGATTCTAATGCCAAAGACTATTATACGTCTATAACCACAGATTTCGCCAAGACTACACTTAGACAAATATTGATAAAGACAAACAATATTTAATCTATTCTCAATTTGACCACAGACTTTATGCAATAAGAAAAGTTTGACAATAAATAAATAGTATGCATGCGCGTGTGTGTCAAATAGATGGTAGTGTGTGTAATGTTTTTTGTTTTTTATTGATTTAATGTATTTTTATGCATAATTAAAAAAAAAATTAACATTCTGCACTCCTCTATATTTTCTATAGGTGTGAGAAATTTCATACTCCTCCGTCCGCGCAATTTTCGTAAAAAGGGTACAAAGTTTTTGCTTCACGTATTAATATATAGATAATGTGTGACGTCATTACAGCGGCGAGCGCGGCGGCGCACACACCGCAGCTGCACTGCTTGCTGGGACTGTACGCTATGTCGATGAACTGTATGGAGGCCGCTGAGACACAGTTTCACACGGCTATACACGTAAGTAATGTTTTAACTTCACCAAAAAAGCTTACACGATACTAGCGGATAGAAATAAATCCCGCAGAATTCTCTTACCCATAATATGTCACATTTATTTTTATTTTTTATTGCTTCGATGGATGGACGAACTCACAGCCCACCTGTTGATAAGTGGTTACTAGAGCTCATAGATATCCACCACGCAAATGCGCCACCCACCTTGAGATATAGTTTTAAGCTCAGTATAGTTACAACGGCTACCCCACCCTTCAAACCGGAACGCAGTGCTGCTTCACGATAGAAATAGGCAGTGGTAGAATAGGTTATAAATTTCGACAAATTACCTTTTTTTTATTGCTAAGATGGTTGGACAAGTTCACGGCCTACCTGGTGCTAAGTGGTTACCGGAGCCCATTGACATCTACAACGTAAATGCTGCCACCCAACTTGAGACATTAGTTGTTAGGTCTCACTTTTAACAGTACAACGGCTGCCACGCCCTTCAAACCGAAACGCATTACTGCTTCACGGCAGAAATACGCAAGGTGGTGGTACCTACCCGTGCAGACTCACAAGAGGTCCTACCACCAGTAATTACGCAAATTATAATTTTGCTGGTTTTATTTTTATTACACGATGTTATTGAGTCAATCGTGAACGTTTGTTAAGTGCGTATTTCATTGGAAAAATTGGTACCTGCCTGCGGGATTCGAACACCGGTGCATCGCTAGATACGAATGCACCAGACGTCTTATCCTTTAGGCCATGACGACTTCAAAGTAGTATGGATTTTTATAGTGTCATCAATAGACAATGAATAACTGAATATTAGTACTTAGTGATAATCACAGCAGTACAGCCGGGTTTTAAGAGATAAACAAACTACCAGACTGATTATAAAATTGATTTTTTTTTGCTGTTTACAAATACGCCAATCGTACTTTAACAAAAATAGTTTGAATTATAATATATATGATTTAAAATTAATTTACAGACGTCACAAGAGAGGGACCTGTGGATGTTTGCTAAATTAAATCTGGCTATTGTATATCTAAGGGGACGAAGAGACAACGATTTGGCACAACTCATGGAACAGGTTAAAATCTAATATATTTTCTTTAAGTTTTCTGATTATTTTTTCCCACTATTATCCGTATGGTGATTTTATTGCATTTAGATGTTCTGTGTTGTTAGGTTAGGCCGGAAGCATTACCACCTTACGCGCACGGACTGCGAGCTGCCTCTTATTACGTGCTGGGATTGCAAGCCTTCTTCCAGGCGAGGTACAATGAAGCAAAGTGAGTGTAATACTACAGTATTTTCATATGTTTCAATTAGTATAGAGCTGTGTGCTTAGTGCGAGTTTAACGTTCTCGATAGCGTAAAAGTTAAGTCAAATTTGTATGGAACGTTTGCCTATGTTTTCCGCTAAGGGCACTGTCCCAGCTGCATACAAATTTCAGGTAACTTTCACGCTTACGAGAATGTTAAAAAACTCGCACTAAGCACACTGTAAATACTAGTTAAAAGCTATCGTAGAATTATTTTGTCCGTGTAGTTTGGGTCTTAAAATATAGCCCGGCTAGGGCGGTGAGAATGTTGCGCGGGCGCAACGCCATTATCGATAAAAGCAAATGAGTCATGGAAGGCAGGTACACGGCGGCGGGGCGGTATACGAAGGGTGGTGAGACATTGTTATGTTATGAGTCATTTGTTGTACCTACCTGCAAATTGTAGTACATATGTCGAAGAGAAATGTGATTTTATGCATTCGCTCTCTGAATTTCTTTAGTGATACAATGGCTACTCTTTTGTTTTGTACCAAAACGGCAGAATTTATTCAAATATTTTGCTCATTGGCAAAAATATACCAGCACAAGCGCGTGCTATTATCAACAATGTGTTAAAAATTTTCACTGAAATGAAAGTAGATCCCGAAAAGTTACAAAGTGTTAATTTCTGACGTTCTCGTTAACTTGCTGCGGCGATATGTGGTGTAAGTGTTCGATTAGTGATTTTTTTCTTTCATTTTTATCACTAACCCACAAAAGGACAAAACTAAATACACTATCGATAACGCTTATCGACAACAATAATGCGCATCACTATGCCCGTCCATAAGGCTCGTGAGTGGAAGAGAGTGAAATACTCGGTTCACCGCTCCGATTTTTTATGACCCAAACTGCACGGACAAAATAATTCTACTATAGGTACATGCATGCAGGTATTCATGCACAAAATGTAATTTGGATGTGAGATAAACTAAAAACATCAATAATGGTTTTCTTTTTTAACTAAATGTAAATTTATGTATTTCAGGCGATATTTACGGGAGACCCTGAAAATGGCGAATGCGGAAGATCTGAACAGACTAACTTCATGTTCCCTAGTACTTCTGGGGCACATTTTCCTTTCAATAAACAACTCTAGGGAGAGCATGAACATGGTGACACCAGCCATGCAGTTGGCTAGTAAGATACCCGATGTCCACGTGCAGCTCTGGGCTTCGGCAATATTGAAAGGTCAGTAGCATTCATTATTAGTTTTTTTAAATTGGCATGTAATGTTTAATGAAAATGAGGTCTTAGCCTTAACATAATTCAGTTATATGTGTAATATTTTTAATTTTTTTAAGTATTATTTGTATGTAATTTTTTTTATAACAAACATTGTATAATATAATTCTGATTAATGTTTGCTTGTGATTAAAAAACGATAAAGTATGATTTTGTTTGCTATTTTGTGCAAATAAAACCAACCTATAATGCCAATGAATAAAACCTATGACTTCATGAAAAATACCTAAAATAAAATTTTAGACCAAGCATCACTACATCACTTGATACTAAATTTTTAGGTTTGTTTAGCCATTACGGATTATTTAAAGAAAAAAAACTAACAAACAAAAAGTAAAAAAATTATTATCCCTGTCCAGATTTGTACCGGTTGGCCGGCGACACGGAACGTGAAAACGAGGCGTACCAGATGCACTGCAACTTTTCGCAGGCGTTGCTCAAGGACCACTTCCAGGCGACGCAGCTGCCCCAGCACGCGCTGCTGCACTGGAGCACCGGCGCGCCGCCCGCCCTGCCGCCCCCGCCCCCGCCGCCGCCCCCGCCCCCGCACGTGGCGCATCTGTAGTTCCCTCAATGGAACTTGACTGCTGGCGTTGCTACTCTCCCAGCACGCCTCTGCACTGGAGCACCGGCGCGCCCTTACTCAAGAACTGTTTAATTAGTGATTGAAGTGACATGTCGCGCATCTAGCGATAGACAATGTCTAACCATTCTACTTCAGTATATTGCCTTCTTCACGATAAGTACTGTGCTCCCATCGTGGCTAGCTGTGACTGAATTCGTGAATAGTTTCAAACAATGACTAGTGATTTAAATGGTTTTATTAGTAAAAACAGTAAAATTAATTGAATAACCTTACGTCTCAAAAAAGGTACTATCTGCTATAGCATATTTGTAGGCAGACGAGCATAGGGCCCACCTGATGGTGAATGGTTACCGTCGCCCATGGACTTCAGCAATGCCAGGGGCAGAGCCAAGTCGCTGCCTACCGCGTGCTGCATTGTTCAAACAACTTTGTAATATTCAAGTCACTTCCATAACAATGAGTTTATCTTGTGAGTATATTTTAGGATCAAAATTGCATCAATATGAAATGAAGAAATAGGGCTCTCAATCCATTCATAGACCTTGTCCCTTAGCTAACACCACACTAGCATAGGTCATGATTAGAGGTCGGAATAGGTAGATTGATTTAAGGTCGTTGACGTCAAACGTAGAGGATAATATGGATATGCCTACAAAATACCGGAACTTCTTATTTATTGTGATACTAGCTGACCCGGTAGACTTCGTGGTGCCTCAATCGATAAATAAAAGACAAAAGGAATCCGTCCGATTGGGGACACATCAAAGGACAAACAAAATTGTTATTTTTATTTAATTCCGAGCATTCTCATATATACCTTCTCTGCACTTCCACAAATTATTTAAGACCAAAATTAGCCAAATCGGTCCAGCCGTTCTCGAGTTTTAGCGAGACTAACGAACAGCAATCCATTTTTATATATATAGTATTGTTCGGGAATTTTGAAATTAGCATGAATCTGTGTTTAAAATGAAAAACGTATTGATAATATTAATCTACGCTACCAGTGCTAGCTAATGGTGAAAAAAATCAGTATTTTATTTTATACTAAAACACGAAATAGTTACACCGTATTTTGTCCCTTACTGTTGAATTAGAAATGACGCTTGTCAGTATGAGACAAAACTTAGATAGGGCTTTTTGTTACTTTATCTCATAAAATATATAGAAATTGTATCCGATGAGGATTAAAAATATTTTTTTTCAATTTAAAATAAATAATCATTATGGATAAAATGGCATGTCCATATTATAATATCTTGACGCAAGTATATAAAATCAATCTACCTACTCCGACCACTGGTCATGATAGACTGTGTACAAGTTTTGAAACTCATATAATGAAGGGACATTTTACTACCACCTGTAGATAATATGTGCTGCACTGTCCTGAAGGCCAAAGATGCATCCAGAATGACTCCCTCACTTTCGTTTTGATACTCTCCTGGTTCAGGATTTTGTTTGACTGAAGAGAGAGATCAGGGAGGAGTTTTCTTTCAATGGCCAAACCTAAATTATCTGGATTGATATTTGCTTTGTTTATTGGTAGTATAAACTTTAAATACACATAATCTTCTACAAACTAGTTGCACGTATAGAGCATTGTAAAGCACATAATCGAATCAAGAAGTTGGTATAGGCAAACAAAAATCCAGAGCGTTAGTTTGAAAATAAAGCTAAAACTTACAGCATTACACCAAGTACTTTTTATCTCAATGGCGTAAACCATAGTGGTAATGACACTCATGCTTTATGCACACAAGCTAAGCTGTGCACGTATGAAACATTCTAGAAGTACAAATTAAAGGTTTTACAGATACTTTAATACCGTAGATTGGGAGGAATCGGGACCCTTTCCAAATCCAACACAAATTTTCAGTGTTTTTCTCTTAGGGTAATACCAATATAATTGAGATTAAAATGGTTCCGAAGGGTTAAATTTTTATAGACGATGCGTTATTATACATAGTTCATTACAAAATATACACAAAAACTGATAAAACTAGCTTGATAGCGATTCACCCTGGCTTTAGGATGAATTAGGTTACGTATGAGGACAATAGAGTTTTATCGATAGGGCTGGGAATATTTAGTTGTTAGGTAGGTACTTAACTTTAGGTAGGTAATTAACTATTTAATATTCTTAAACACTAAATAGAAGTCATTTTCAGTTCAACAAAATTAAATCTAACAACAAAAGTATTGTGACATCCCAGATTTGTCTCTATTCTAACACTAGTCTCTATTCCCCCAATCTACTGTACCTAAAGCATTTTGATCTATTGATTTAAAATAATAATGTACTAAAGTTGGGCCCTTTTGTACATTGCTGTATCACTACACTTATCAACTACAAATTAAAACCTCTATTATATTTTAGCTATATATTTTTAAACTGCATATCTTTTTTTAATGATCAACAGTCATTAAATTTAGAGTGAATCGGAATTTTTAACTGAAGGTTGTATAAAATATATTCTTAGGTACTTTAATGGTGATTGTTGACACAATTTGCAGTTGCCACCTGTCATTATTAATAAAAACAAATCTAGCGACGGTTACATTATTTTGTTTATTTCGAGTAATGAAGAGTGTATGACATGATAGACTACACCGTGTTAGGACATTACAATTTAAATATCATTAAAATATTTGACTCAATTCTCGTGTAAGCGCGCGTCATATCCCCGCGCTGTATGAGAACATTGACCCGAGCATCAGCTGATTTGAAATTGCACGTTGTGTTGTAGTCTTACAAAAATTAAAATGTTTACATTTTTAAAAATGTCAATGCATAATTTGGATGGCCGGCATTAGCGTTGCCATCTTTCTCAACAGTCTGATATTTTCATAGCTATTTCAAGTCATTAAAGTCGACCCGTGAATGTCAGATATCTTATTTAATTTGCTGTCATCTTTTGTCCTAACATAAATAGTAGGTAATTGTTATTGACTGCACCATTTTACTGATGGTACGACGTTTTGTGAGTCCACACGGTTACGTACTACCGCCCTGCCTATTTCTGCCGTGAAGGAATAATGCTTTTCGGTTTGAAGGCTGGGGCAGCCGTTATACTGTAAAAACTTTGAGACCTTAAACTCATATTTTAATGTGAATGGCGGCATTTACGTTGTAGATGTCTATGGGCTCCGATAACCACTTAAAACCAGGTGGGTCGTGAGCTCGTCCACCCATCTAGGCAATAATAGAAAAAAACATCTGCTTGAACAATATTGGTTAAACTGTAATTTAGATTGTTTTTTTATTTCGACTTGTTTTGGGAACGCTTCTCTCGGTGTTGGCAAAATTTGATTTAAAAAAATTCATTAATTGAGTCGTCTATTATCAAAGGTGGCAATCTGTGCATTTGGACAAAAAAATGTTAATGATATGTCAATACAGATTGATTTGAATATATTCGTCTCCTTCAAAGAATACGGTTCAAAACCTGCATTAAATAAAGGTTAATAGTTAACCTGTTATTTATCTAAGATGTCGTTCCGAAGAGTTTTGTGACTGCCAATGGAATACAAAGTCAATAATTCGTTTTTCTGATTTACCAATAATTGTCCAAAAGTTAGATTGCCGGCTTTGATAATAGTCGACTCAATTCTGCTCTAAAAACGATTCAAATGTCAGTAGTTAAAAGTTTCAAGCCAAATGTATGGCTTGAAACTTTTTACATGTCTCTCCGTTTGGCTAAAGTCAAGTACGCCTGTGTGCTTAGTTCGAGTTATTTTTTTAACGTTCTCGATAGCGTAAAAGTGAACTCAAATTTTTATGCAGTTGGAACGTTTGCCTGCGTTTGCCGCTAGGGGCGCTGTTCCAACTGCAAATAAAATTTGAGTTAACTTTTACGCTATCGAGAACGTTAAAAACTCACACTAAGCGTATTGAAGGCCTTAATCGACCCAACCGCTAGTTTTAGTTGCGTATAATGAATACAGTTGATAAAATTATGTTATGTATTTATCTCGATGCGCCGAAGTTGCCTCATACAATTATAAAAGAGCGCCGGTTGTGTTCTTGCATGGTTGTGTTGGGTTTCCGGCACTCGTTGGGTTTCCATCACCCTTTGGGTTTCCAGCACCCGTTGTCAACCCAAGTAAATAATTCTTGAAGATTCTATCTAGTTTTCCGGTCGGGTAAATGACACACACAAGAATAGTCATTGTGACTTCACGGTATTCTTAACCGGAGTAATACGGTGGTTTGATCTCATTCAGTCACTCTATTATAGCAAAACAACAAGGGCTTTTGAACCTTGCAAAAAAAATGATATTTTACATACAGAGAAAATATATGTGACAGAGAAACTCGAATAATATCGGACGTTTTATTTTCAATATGACAAATCCATCAATAGAAATATTAAAAGCGTATTATTCAGTATTGTTTTAATATCTTTTGTTAACTCAATTGGATCTCAAGTCCAGTTCAGAATCCTTCCTATAATTACTACAATTCTTCCAAATGTACATAATATAATATAATTGTGCTGATTGTTATTTCGTTAAAAATATATTATTTTTATTGACATTGTCTACGCTTGTATTGTGTTTGTAAAGACACTGTCAAACGAGTGAGCATTATATAATAAGTTTTTATACATTATTTGCGAATTCGAACATAGGAGTATGAGTTCTGCTACCCAAAGGACTGATCTAATGTAATAATGTCGAATGAAACTTGAGAAAGAACAAAATGTCTCATTTATTTATTTTATTAATTATTCATTCTCCTTAGTAATTTGTTAGTAAATGTATGCGTTGATGATATAGTTAATTATTTTTATTATGACAACGGATCTAATGAATCCTCCGCTTTGGTTCTCAATGGGCGGGTTTTCTTTGTTTGTCACAAGAATTGTTCGAGAAGATTCCATTATCATTCATCTTATTTTTTATACTTTAGATTAGGGTCTGAAGATTCGTCCGCTGCTGAACCAAACAAGAGTCGTGTACTGTTTGAATGTAACCTTGAGCATGTAAACCTTCTCTCGCTAGTTCCCTATCGAACAGTTAGACGTGGCCTTATGAAGAAGGGAGTACATGAACTATTGTTAATATGTAAATAAAAGTTGAATTATTGTAAATAATAATAAAAAATATAAATTATATGTTTTTTCATAAGTTTCGTGTTTCATTTTGTTTTTACCGTAACGAATATTCGTAGTTCCTATTCAAGATAGTTGCAATGCTATTATTTAAATCATCTTGCTTCTCTTGTAGAGGGATACAATCTTAAAATGGTAATATTAAAATAATTTACAGTAGAGTATGGGGTACAGTCCTACAAATGTCAGAATATTATGCAAATCTTCATTACTATATAGTTTGAGAATGGTTGCCCGGAAGACAAAATTGAGGTATTTTCTAAATCCGTGTAAAGCCTGCTCATTCAAAGGTACGTGTTTTTCTTTGCCGTTAACATCGTTTTTAATGAAACAAAAATCTTTTCAATACTCTAGCGTACTTCCAAGGTCCTTCATGACTAGATTATTAGATAGATATAATTAGATCAATAGTTGCCGTTGTTCATGGACAACATTTATGCCCTGGAACAGTCGGAATAGCGTCTAGCTCGAACTTCTCCTGGTCGATGTATTTTGTGCGAGTTTTTTAATTTCTCAATAGCGTAAAAGTTGACTCAGATTTGTATGGAGTTAGAACATGTCCCTACGTTTGCCGCTAGGGGCGCTGTTCCAACTGCAAATTTCAGCTAAATTTTACGTTATTCCCGGTCATCGTTCTCGTCGAACCCGTGNCTGGAACAGTCGGAATAGCGTCTAGCTCGAACTTCTCCTGGTCGATGTATTTTGTGCGAGTTTTTTAATTTCTCAATAGCGTAAAAGTTGACTCAGATTTGTATGGAGTTAGAACATGTCCCTACGTTTGCCGCTAGGGGCGCTGTTCCAACTGCAAATTTCAGCTAAATTTTACGTTATTCCCGGTCATCGTTCTCGTCGAACCCGTGCATTGCGACGAAGGGCTCGACGAGTAAATTAACCCACAGACACAGCCCACTAAGTTTCTCGCCGGATCTTCTCAGTGGGTCGCGTTTCCGATCCTCTGGTAGATTCTGCGAAGCACGGCCCTTGCTAGGGTTCATGCTAGCAACGTCAGGTTTGAGCCCCGTGAGCTCACCTACTAGTTAAGGTTACGCTGAAATAGCCTCTCAAGGCTATCAGCTTAGGTAGGAAAAAAAAAGCTATTGAGAAGGTTAAAAAACTTGCACTAAACACACTGGACCCGTTAATGTTTAGCTGGCACTAAAGTCAGTTAAAATGGCACGAATATTCGCTGCAGATAGAGTGTTGTCCGGCAGCGGGCTGCGCGTAGTGCGGCGGATCGGGCGCCAGGTTGCTTTTCCTATAGAACGTGTCCCTTAGAATGGCGCAACGTCCGAAGTTCACGTCACGAGCGCGCTGTCTCGACTGTTTTTGTTGCCAGCCGTAGTCCCAGTTGGTTGTAATGCGAAAGAAATATCTGAGATACGTGAAAAAAAGCTTTAAAAACATTCGTGTACATTAACAATGTCAATGTACAGTCAAGCGACTGCCCATCGATGCGTAAGTACTTTCCGCAATCCTCGTTTGATTAAAGACATTTCATTTTACTGGTGGTAGGACGTCTTATGAGTCCGCACGGGTAGGTACCACCACCCTGCCTATTTCTGCCGTGAAGTAGTAATGCGTTTCGGTTTGAAGGGCGGGGCAGCCGTTGTACTGTTACAAGTGAGAACTTAGAACTCATGTTTCAAGGTGGGTGGCGGCAATTTACGTTGTAGATGTCTATGGGCTCCGGTAACCAATCAAAACCAGGTGGTCCGTGAGCTCGTCCACCCATCTAAGCAATAAATAAATAAAATTGTACTCTAGAAAGACCCAGATTAGCAGCTCATTTTAAAATCTCTTTAAAGACACTGTAAATAACACACTGGTTATAGGTGGTTTGAATGGACTCTGCTACAGCGATGAGCGGTGCGATGGTAATAACGAGATGACGGGATCATCAAACAGTTTCATAAAGCCCTCAGTTGCAACGTTTTCGTTGCGGCGATGTTTGAAGTCCAGAAAGCCATTCGTGCACCATACAAACATCTTAGTAGGTATAATTTTGTTTTTTTTTTATGATTCAAGGATTACTGGTGGCCCGGAGGCCTTTCCAGTTTTACCAGGACAGGTGGGCGAGCAAAGGCTCAGCCAGGAGGGGTGGGATTTGCTAACAGCTACCCGAGCGCCTCCGAAGGAGACCTAACAGCTCAAGAGTAGCTGCTTCGCGAATGAATCTACTACCGGATCGGAATCGCGACCCGCTGAGAAGATCCGGCGAGAAACTCAGCGAGCTGATTCATGGGTTAGGTTGCACGGTGAACTCTTTGTCGAGTTCGACGAGTACGGTTACCGAGGTCCCTAAGCCTGCTCCTAGTGTTAGAGCCCTAGGTCGTCGACCTAGGTCGAGGCCCAGGTCGTCGTGTAGGTCAACGTTCCTCACGAACCACGGAGCTCCGACGGTTAACCTGCAAAAGCGGGATTGTAGAGATTGGAGGGTGTCTATGTGTGTGCGGGCCGCGTGAGCGAACACCACACTCGCGTAAGTCATGACGGGCCTTATGCAAGTTTTGTAAAGTGTCACCTTGTTCCGAAGGGACATTTTACTCCGCTTACAGATCATAGGGTAGGGTCTACCGAGAATAAACGCGGCACGGTCACGGACTGATTTTANGCGGGATTGTAGAGATTGGAGGGTGTCTATGTGTGTGCGGGCCGCGTGAGCGAACACCACACTCGCGTAAGTCATGACGGGCCTTATGCAAGTTTTGTAAAGTGTCACCTTGTTCCGAAGGGACATTTTACTCCGCTTACAGATCATGGGGTAGAGTCTACCGAGAATAAACGCGGCACGGTCACGGACTGATTTTATAAGCGGGCGGAATGTCATCGATGCATCCAGGGTAACGCCCAGGTACATGACCTTCCTGGCCCAGGGTTTGGGTTATCTAAAGAGATATAATTTTATATCAATTTATATCATATATCATATGATATATATATCAATTTATATCATAAATATATCAATTTCACACTAACTTCTCCTCTGGTGCTTGTTTGTTCCTCGCCTTGAAATATTTCTCGGCCGCGCCTTTGTCTCTGCTTCCGTAAAACAAATCTAAAACTTCAGGTGCTATAGGTTTCATTAAGCTATCGTCTTCGGCTGGTGTTAGTTCTCGCAGTGGAACTTCTACTGGTTTCTTAACTGGTTCGTCTAATTTCTGAGAACGCACCGATTTAATATGTATTATTTTTACCATTATTTTTCTAGTTTAAATTATAATTATTTGTGTACAGTTAAGTATTAATAGTATTATTATTACTAGTAATAAGTATTATAGAGTATTTAGCATTATAGATAATTCTACCGAAATTCTATAATTTTAATTGTTAAACAAAACAAAAAGCCCCGACTGCTTTAAAAAATACTAACCGGAAAGTAAAAAAACTGTCTCAATAATATAAAGGTTAGTAAAGAACTTATCGACCTAGAGAAGCAAAAATATTTAGGTAACTTTTGTGTGTCATTGAAACATGAGCATCAGAGACCCAGTTAGCCCTCTTCGCCGATGGTACGGCTATCCACGATTATGATTTGTAATAATTTATGTTTTACCGCTATCAGCTCATGGGCTAGTGCTATGGACGTGTCGATTTCTCTGACACGTTTCTCTTTGGCCGCTTCCAGAACTTTCAATAAGTTCTCTTGGTACCAGCGCCGATCGCGCCTCTTTGACTTCTGTGTGGCATCAGCGTAGAATTCATAAGACATTTTATGAAGCTCAGTTACTCTTTAATTCATCACTGCATATTACTTTTTTTGTCATGAACGATTAAAACTTTCACAAGAATTTTGACAAAACTCAAAAGATGCTTAGTCTATTGTAAATTTGTTTCAAATGAAGAAACTACGGTAGAAGAGTTGGTTCTTATGGTTCTACCATAAAGCAATTAAAGTTAGACCTCTTTTTAAGACGATTTTATTAACCTAACCCTGTTTTATTAGGTATTTGATGGAATCTTTATTAGCAATTTTCATTACTAATTTGAAACTAGAAAGTTAGATCCCCGACATAGATGATGGGGTAAGAAACAGCCGCCGTCGCCCATTTTTTTACTTTTTTTTATTTTTTTTTATTGCTTAGATGGGTGACGAGCTCACAGCCCACCTGGTGTTAAGTGGTTACTGGATCCCATAGAAATCTACAACGTAAACGCGTCACCCACCCGCCCTAAACGTGTTGTTTCTGATTCTCTCGATCCACTGTCGGTGCTATTAGGCACTCCAAGCACCGATCACAGACCACTCTTCGTGCACCGTGCTCACAGAGCACTCCCAGCAATACAAAGCATGGGACTTCCACGGTGAAGGGATAACATCGTGTAATAAAAATCAAACCCGCAAAATTATAATTTGCGTAATTACTGGTGGTAGGACCTCTTGTGAGTCCACACGGGTAGGAACCACCACTCTACCTATTTCTACCGTGAAACAGTAATATGTACATATAAAACGAAACGGGTATTTATTATATATTTATTATCCATATTTTAATTAACATTAGACGGGTATGCAGATTGCAAGCCCAGCAAAATTTTTACAGTCAATTAATTCTGGCTTTGTGATCTGGCCGCTTTCCTTCCCATGACTGGTGTATTTCCCATTCGTAATAAGCTCCGTAGGCCCCTGGCTTCTCGCGTGCTGTCCAGCTGTTCGGACGGTACCGCGCAGAAGTCGTCCACGAGGGGTGCCGTGCCACTAAGACGCTCCGCATACTGACTAAGGCGCGATTGATGAGTGGTCGGAGATGTCTTATCCATAGGTTGTTGTTGTAGCGTCTAAAAAATGATTTTCGAACACATTATTATCGCTAAGTGTCCAAGCACTGTCTTGCCGCTCAATCATTTACGTTCGTGATTGTACGGATGATGTAACTTAGAGTGACACTGAATTTATAAAATTAAAAAAAAAGCGGTAATAGCTTGTCATGTCATGTTTATGTCAACTAATGGCTTCTCTTCACAATCGGCCATGATGGGCGATTATAGATACTCATGGCTCCTCTTCACAATCGGCCATGATGGGCCAACAAATGATCGTCCATCATCGCCGCCATAATCGGGCAATTCTCCACACAATCGTAAACGTTCATTTACTGGCGTCTAGGTATCGATGACGGAAATCGAGGGGATCGCGGCAGCTTCAATATTTTTAGTTAGCTCATATAGTCATTTAGTTATTGTGCGCGAACAAAAGAATCGTGAAAACTCTTTTTTTTATTGCCCTTGTAGACAGACGAATATACCTGATGGTGAGTGGTTATCGTCGCCCATGGACTTCAGCAATGCTAGGTGCAGAGACAAGCCGCTGCCTACCGATAACTATAAAAAAGATGGAGGAAGAGAAGGTGGTGGGTGGTGGCTATCAATCGGAACAAAACAAGGTCCACGCAACCATAGTTTTGTAGTCGACACAATTGACACACACTCGAGACAACTACATCCTGACTAATCGGCGATGGTGTGGACGCTCACACAATCATGGGCCATCATTCTTTTGATCTACCGACACAACGCCTATCGCGGACGATCATACGCGATGATGGCCGATCACAGACATTTATGCCCTCTACACTATCGTGAGTTTCTATAATCGCCCATCATGGCCCATTGTGAAGAGGAGCCATTAGTTATCGACCCCATTATCTCGGCGGCCGGATGACAGTTGTAGAAATTGTTATAAATTTTAATTCTAATAATATCAGAAAAATCCAAGGCGTTGTCTATTGCACAAAAGTCACGAAGATCAGTCGAACAGAGGACTCGAAATACAGTATAGAGAAAGAAATGAGGAGAGGGGCCCTGAGAAACACTAGAATCTACTAGAACTTCTAGAGTACAAAATCGGTGATTAAATAAGTTGTCTTCATAAAATACAATAGTTTAGACCGAGCTTCTATTTCGACCTTCTATCTCAACGTGGGTCTACGGGCACTGGTAACCACTTTGTACCGGGTGTGCTGTGAGGTCATTCACCTATCCACTTAGATAAATAAATAAAAGTTCTCCAAGTATAGCAATTTTTACTGCTTGAATTAAGGCTAAATCTTACACTTTGCATAAATTTGTTTATTACGGTTAGCGTGGTATGGACGTGTGATGCGTAGAGAGGATGCATGTGACTAGGAGATGTATGGAAATGGTAGTTCAAGTTAGAGAGGGAAGATGTTGACCAAAGAAGACATGGATGGAGTGTGTGAATGACAATATGAGAGAAAGAGAGAGAGAGAGAAAGAGGAGTGAGTGTTGAGATGATGGCTGATAGAAGAGAATGGAATAGAAAAATTCGCTGTGCCGACCCCATCTAGTGGGTTAAGGTGGACAAAGAAGGAAAAGAAGATTATATTAATTTTGTTTACAAATACCTATGATAGGATGATCATAGTGTATGATGATTCAGTAATGACATCAATTACCTTTTTAATTAATCAATTACCTTTCCACTGACGGCAGCTAACTTATCCTGTAGTTTTTTTACAAGTATTGCATCACTTTCATAGCTTGTTAGTGTTGGTTGTGGCATACATTGGAACACTGTTGCCAGTAGATTGTGAAGAGATACCAGCACACTGTCCTGCCATGCTCTAGTGAAATACAAACTAAATGAGGGATTTTCTTCCGGTTTCTGGATGTAGGGGAATGCTGAAAAATAATACTTGTATAATAATATTTTAGATGTAAATTATAGAGAAATTGGATGTTGGAGTATGAAGAAATATTTTTGTATAAGATAAAACTTAATTCAAAGGATTCCTAATAAAAATATTACAAATTTTGCATTTGTGCATATTTTGCATTTATTATGCATAATTTGTAATATTGAGCTCAGAGGACCATAAAGTAGGGCTGAAAGGAAAAAAAAATTGTGTCAGATACATAGACATTGCTGAGACCCGAAAAACGTACGACAGTATAATATTATTTTACGATAATAATAGTAAGGGGAGATGAATATGCTAAGTTACTATTATAATTGATTTTATAAATTAAAATTTCAAACAAAGTAAGTTTCGATTATCATTAATAGCAAATTATACTGGTTGATACCAATAAAATATGAAATGGCCCTGATGGGCTTGCTGTAATATTTTACGATACAGTCTTACGATACAGAAATCTTCCTCTCTCTTAAGCAAATGCTGATGTATGGCTACATTACTATTAATATATTAATGAATAATTTATTGTATCAAATAATTATTATATGAAATCTTACTGAACCACTCCTTCCATTCATTCTGTCCTTGTAATTCTGGCAACATTTTATTAAAGAAATCTGTTATCTTTTCATTTCTTATTAAACTGGTATTCTGTGCAGCTGTCACTAAGTACAGTTTATATAAACTATATTCTAACTTGCGAATAGCTGAAATAAAATTACTAAATAAGTATTTAATAGAACTTCGTTTTGGTGCAAGCTATCGGTCCTGATTGATCTTACTTGGGATCTTAGACTATACAAAGTATGATATTGCAGACACCAATATTATCTACTCTAAAAGAAATTGGGCAGCACAGATGCTCTGCATAGTTATTTATTTATTTATTTTTTATGCAATATGGTATCGCTCAGTAGAGCAGGAACTGGGCATCTTGGGCATGATGTGGGAAGAGCTAGAACAGACTGCCTAAGACCAATGCAAATGGAAGAATTTGATTTGAGCACTACACCCCAGCAGAGGGTAATAAAAAAAAGAAGAAGAATATAGTAGAAGAATATTGCACAGGTTTTCTTAGCAACGTGATGCACAGCAATGTCTAACTAAAATTATTATGTTTATAATTATCTTTTAATAAAGGCCAACTAAATACAATATTATCTGTGTTCTTAATATTACGTACAGCAATGAAAATATTTATGCTAAATTTGCTCTAGAGACAACTATTTAATTTTATAACTTTCACTTTTGTACTATACTGGAAGAGTCTTACATATTTCATAATAAGCATAAGTTAATTAGATTACTGTACTGTATTGTAGTTTAAAAATTGACTTAGGACTCATGTCTCAAGGTGGGTGGCAGCATTGACGCGTTTGATGTCTCTGAGCCCCGGTGACCACTTAACACCGGGTGGGCTGTGAGCTCGGCCACTCGTCTAAGCAACAAAAATAAAATTGTACACTTGTTGTGTCCTACAAGTATTCTTAAACTTTATGAAAGGGCACTCACCAGGTTGTACGTGTATTTCTAATTTCGTAAAAATTAAAGAATCTAAATGTGACCAATATTCCTTTAAGCCGTTGAGATCGGAAACATTAATGAAATGCATAATTTGTTCAATAATTTTGTCAACTCTAAAGCCTTTGTCTTTGTCAGCTTTTAAATCGTTATCAAATGCTTTTAGAGTACTTGCAAAACCTCTAAACAATAAATATTCTCTGACCAACTCGTCCACGAATTGTACATGTGCCATATTTTGACCTAAGCCCGATATTCCTATAAATTTTAAGTAAATGAATCGAATAGTACTGTAGGAAATTAATAAACATGAATAATATTATTAAAAATAAATTACAAACAGTAAGCAGCTGTTTTTGACACCAAAGTTCTGTCTGTGAGTCACAATTTCTTCTCTTGTTAAGTAGACAATGGGAACCTCATCCATACAGTGTAATCTTGGGCTTCAAAGCGAAAGACATGCTATTGCATGAAAAGGGAAAGAATAAAATTAATTAAATCTAATTAAATAAGCTGAGATAAGAAAATACCATATATGTTTGATGAGATGAACTATGATAACGTCTCAGCAAAACGCTAGCAAGTAACCAAGTAGAAGTCCTCTGAACTTTTGTTTCATATTCCCAATTTTGTACACTTTCATACATCCTAAAAGGCTGATGAAACCATTAGTACACTTTTAAATAAAGCTTTCCAAATAACAAATAAAAATATTCGACATATTAAACAGAAATTGTAAATTGTATGCATCTCACTGAAAAGTAGGCTAGCATTTTGTTCTAATTTTTTTACGATTAAGTATCTCTTTTGCGGTATCATCATTAAGAGTTTAGAGTTTCGGCATTGTTATATGATGAAAATATTTAAACCGTCATTTTCAAATCCTATAGAAAAAAAACAAAAAATCATTAATCATTCATGTCAATCAATGACAATCAGAGATAAAAAACAATGACAATTAAATGTCAATTGTAAATTTGTCAAAGTCAATTGCTCCCAATTTTCAATCAGCTGTCGGTTTTGTCGTGATAAATGACTAGTAACAAAATTAAACAAAATGCGTTGTGGTGAATGAAAGTGTATTTGTTCCGTGGGCTGCTGGTCGAATAGCTAAGCTTCAGAGCGTTAGTTGTATCGCGGGCTGCTCTATGCGGTGTGCGATGGCGTTGCGTGGGGAGTAGGGGCGGGCGCGGTTCGGAGGAGCAGGCATGCGGCGGTATGGCGGGCGAGGCTGCGGGCACGTCGCGAGGGTTGCGCGTATACAAGATCGTGGTACTGGGCGACGGCGGGGTCGGCAAGTCTGCGGTCACACTCCAGTTCGTCAGCCACAGTTTTTTGGACTACCATGACCCAACCATAGGTATTAGCGAAAATAACAAAAATAATCAATATCCATTAAATCACAAAAAAATTCAAGGGTTTTAGTGATCAGTTTAAGAAATTGCAAATTAAACAGTCACCAGTCTCTATTGTTAATATATTTATTAATATAAGGTTACTATGTAATGTGATTGCTAAAAAAATTTATTCCAGATAAAGGCCAGCAAAAACTTTAATTATTATGTAAAAAAAATAGTTTTTCCTTGCCGTCAATGAGTTGATGCGTGTTTACATAGTATGAAATGCAGCCCCATATTAATGTAGCTACCATGATATATTGAGTACTCTTTATGCACCACTTAGAACCCATCTACCATTTGAACTGGAATGTATGATTATTTCATTGCAAAAATAGACAGCATTGTAGCTTATGTCATACCACCTCAATGCATTTTTTGTATGTAGCATATGTCTTAGCACCAATCATTTCATTAAGTATCTCACCATTCAAGTTGATGTTCAACTATTTTAATAATATACTAGAACACTAGTGTAATATTTGGTTGCCCTTATTTTAAACAAAGAACATGAACAAATTTCACTGGGAGAGATAGTTTAATTCGTACTAAACTTAAAAAAATGCCAAATGTTAATTTTTTAAGTTTCGGACTTAAAGTGAAAATGTTAGACATTCTATTTAATTATCCTCTGTTATAATAGTAATAATAATAGAGAACAAGACATCCAGACATCTGGCCTCAAACTAAAATTATGTGTACTATGGGAAATTGAGATGATTTTTATTCTATACAGTAGTACGCTGTCGTAAGACATTCAACCGTAGTTTTGAGTACTTAAATTTAAGTTTCAATAATACACATATAGATAATACACACCAAGACATCATACATAATATATTAAATACATGCAACTATAATAGAAATTGTAATTTTATATGAAAAAAGGAGTAGAAAGGGTAAAGAACACCTTAAATATTTTAAGTTGAATACACTGTTAAAAAAACGAATCAAAGTACTGTGCATAGCGACATCAATATGTATATGATTAGATAAATACATTTTATAATAATACTCATGCTACTAAAATTTTGTTTGGCACTGAATATGTTTTGTGTATCTACTGGAAAAAATATAGTGTAATAAACTCCATGTAATGTCACTCAATTTAATGACAAACACATAAAATGTCGAAATCACTTGGCTTTGGACGGTTTAGCTGGCCTTCCATATAATGAAACAATACCCACTTTCAATAACCACAATAATTAAGTAATAAGAAGTACCTTTTAAGTTGCCAAAATTAGTAATTAAAATAAAGTAATTATAGAAGTTTTGGAAGCAGCTAAATTATTGGGAATGTACTTCTTTTATCACCAAGATGCCTCAATATTGCAAGATATAAATGCCAGTAGGTAAAAAATGTCACAAAATTACTGGTGCAGTCCATTCAGTGTTGTTGTATAGGGCTTACACTGTAAAAGTTTTGTAACACTGTAAAATTGTTATTTAAAATAATTTTAAATATTACTGTGATTCTCAGAGGACTCCTATCAACAACAAGCAGTAATTGATGGAGAACCAGCACTGCTGGACATTCTGGATACAGCTGGTCAGGTAGTTACAATTTCTATTACCAAACACATATTATGATATAGTTTAATTACTTTTCTTTTACCACGACACTAAGAATTGCTTTGAAACAATATATCAATATCTCATTTGTATCTCTGTATTTGTATCTATAAATAATGATATTTAAACATAAGAATATTATAATATAGAATAATGTAATAAATAATATCAAAATATATAAATTTCGAAGTCGGCGTGGCTTAAAGCATAAGACGTATGGTGCATTCCTATCTAGCGATGCAACAGTGTTTGAATACCGCAGGCAAGTGCGAATTTTCCTATTGAAATATATTACATATGTTCACAATTTACTTCCTCAGTGGAGGAATAACATCTTGTAATAAAAATTAAACCCGCAAACTTACAATTTGCATAGTTACTGGTGGCAGGACGTCTTATAAGTCCGCACGGGTAGGTACCACCGCCCTGCCTATTTCTGCCGTGAAGCAGTAATGCGTTTCGGTTTGAAGGGTGGGGTAGCCGTTGTAACTATACTGAGACCTTAGGACTTATATCTCAAGGTGGGTGGCGCATTTACGTTGCGGATGTCCATGGGCTCCAGTAACCACTTAACACCAGGTGGGCTGTGAGCTCGTCCACCCATCTAAGCAATAAAAAAAGCTAATAAAAGCGTATTAAAAACCCAGGTGGAGTTCACTGCGATGCGGGAGCAGTACATGCGTTGCGGGGAAGGCTTTGTGCTGTGTTACTCGGTGACGGACCGGCGGTCGTTCCGCGCTGCCGCCGAGTACAGGAGGCTGCTGGCGCAGGCGCGTCCCTCCGAGAGGCTCCCACTCGTGCTGGTTGGAAACAAACTTGACCTAGCTCCGAGACTTAGACAGGTGAATATTAATTATCCACGTATTATACACGTATTATCCACGTATTCTCCACGTATTATCTACGTATTATCTACGTATTATCCACGTATTATCCATGTATTATATACGTATTACCCACGTATATTATGGACGTAGAAACTTTGTAAAACGTTGTTTTTTTTTCGCTTAATACGCGACATTTATTTTAGTAATTAAAGATTCGTTTCATTTGGTATTAGCAAAAAAAATGGATGTTTTTAATTGAACTTTATTTAACCCCTTCATTGCGGAACAAGCCCATCTTGAATTCCGCGGTACTTTCAGCTAGTGCGGACCGATTATTTCAGGTGTTTGTTAGAGTTCGGCAACTATATACTTTTTTTTTTTTTGTTATCCTGCCTAAGCTGGTAGCCTGGAGCGGCTATTCCAGCGTAACCGTGGCTAGTAGGTGAGCTCACGGGGTTCAAACCTGACGACGATGCTAACACGAACCCTAGCAAGAGCCGTGCTTCGCAGAATCTACCACCGGATCGGAAACGCGACCCACTGAGAAGATTCGGCGAGAAACTCAGTGGGCTGTGTCTGAGAGTTAATTTACTCGTCGAGCCCTTTGTCGCAAGCGACGGGTTCGACGAGAACGGTGACCGGTGCTTGAAGTACCTAAAAGCACCGTTAGTGGATCGGGAGGATCCGAGATGACGTGTTTTGGGCGACGTTGACTGCTTTCCATTCTGTCCGCAGTATCGGGAATGTAGTTACCGGCGGCCACGATGAGAGGGTTCTCGTGTCGTGCCGCTTTATTGAAGTGGAGCATCAACGCCGACTGTAGATACTTACTGGTCGACGTTCCTGACGAACCACGGGGCTCCGACGGCTATCCTGCAAAAACGGGATTGAATAATTTGGAAGGATTTTAAATGAGTGCGGGCCGCGTGAGCGAACACTACACTTGCATAGGTCATGACGGGGCGTATGCAAGTTTTGTAGAGTGTCACCTTATTTCTAAGGGACATTTTACTTCGCCTGCATATCATCGGGTAGAGACGTCCTAGAATGAAGGCGGCACGATCGCGTACCGTCTTAATATGGGGGCGGAATGTCATCCTTCTGTCGAGGGTGACGCCTAAATATTTGACCTTCGGGGCCCACGCTATGGGCTGGTCTAACATCGTGATTAGGCGAATGGCGGAGGCGGAGGTGTCGACGCGCCTAGACGGGAGAGGGATGCTCAACGTGGTGTTCGAAGGGCGACCCCTGTTGAAGAGCACCGCTGTGCTTTTCGTGGGGTTGATGTCGATACTATATACTACAAATTGTATACAGTATGTTTACACAAAGTTTATAGCATTTTAATCTACCCTAGTGCTGGTGAGTCGAGAAAGACCTACAAGGCACTGGTGGAAATATCGTTGGGGGCGCATCGACCCGCCACCGACCCCATTGAAGGTTTATGATTTTACTGCCCGCAGCCAACGTGTTAAGTTTACTCCATTCAGATAGTTCACGAAGTTTTTTTGTTATAGTACTTTTTTCCAAATTTTATTTTTTTAAATGGGTCTCCTGTAAAGTTTAAAAAAGTCACTTAAACTGAATAGCTTTTCAGACCTAGATACATACTAGATCGGTTATCAGTATCGAAACGTAAGAAAGAGACCGTAAAAGTCAATTTAATTTTGGCAGTTATTTGGGAATAACATGCACCTAGCACGTACAAGAGACTTTTTGGCGGGAACGCGAGGAGTGAAGTTGTGTGATTTGTTTTGTTTTGTCTATTTAGTGTTTCTTCAGGTTTCAATGTATAATAACGGTGGTTTATTAACAGTTTAGTAGCTGTGAAAGTGCACGAATGTGGGAAAATGTAACAAAGCTGTTGGACGTAACTTCGCGGGATCCTCCAAAAAGTGCACTGAAAAAATCTTAGTAAATGACCACCATTTTACTGAGATTATATTTCATACCATATCATTTCATTTCATTTCACTCCATATTATCATTTTTCATAAAAATAAGAATATAAATTATGACCTAAAGGCCTTAGTTACCAGGTCATAAAATCCCTTTAAAAAAGAGCACGTACAGAAAACAAATTGTTTATGTAAAGGTAACGACCGAGGAAGGCAAGGAGCTGGCCACGCAGCTGGGGTGTCCATTCTACGAGACCTCGGCGGCGCTGAGGCACTTCGTCGATGACGCATTCCACGCACTCGTCCGAGAGATACGGCGCCTAGAGAGACAGAGACAGGTGAACATTTTACTACAACTACGTAAATCCTACCTTATCTGTTGGCCTTGAGAGGTCATTTCAGCGTAACGCGTAGGTGAGCTCACGGGGCTCAAACATGACGACGTTGCTAACACTAACCCTAGCAAGAGCAGTTTTTAGCAGAATCTACCACCGTATCGGAAACGCGACCCACTGAGAAGATCCGGCGAGAAACTCAGTGGGCTGTGTCTATGGGTTAGTTTACTCGGTGCTTGAGGTAAAAGCACCGTTAGTGGATCGGTAGGACCCGAAATGACGTGTTTTGGGCGAAGTCGACTATTTACCATTGGGTCCGCAGGATCGGGAATGTGAATCGATAATTAACTCGTTGGGTGACAATGGTGAAATTTATCTCGCGTTTTCTTTATTATATCGAGGGCTGAAAGACTATTTGGTTTAAGCGACATTTCGCTTAATACGCGACATTTTTCTTCAAACAACTTCAACAAAAAAACTTCAGCTATTTGAATGGGGTGAACTTTCTTGAAGTTCAATTAAAAACACCGAGTTGTTGATGATAATACCAAATAAAACGGACCTTTAATTACAAAGATAAATGTCGCGTATTAAGCGAAATGTCGCTAGCTTTACACACCTCTATATATTATATGTATCTATATCTATCTATACTAATATATAAATAAAGTGGTTTTTACGGATGTTCCGTTATAACTACTGAACCATGCATCCGGTTGATTTGAAACTTGGTATCCATGTCGAAAATACATGTACATAATGGATAGGCTAATATTTATATGAATGTTGGACTCCTTAATAATAATGACAGTAAATAATAATGTTAATTTTAAATGCCCAGCGGAGCGGGCAAGTACAGCTAGTGCTGGTGGTAGAACCTCTTGTGAGTCCGCGCGGGTGGGTACCACCACTTTGCCTATTTCTGCCATGAAGCAGTAATGCGTTTCGGTTTGAAGGGTGGGGCAGCCGTTGTAACTATACTGAGACCTTAGAACTTATATCTCAAGGTGGGTGGCGCATTTACGTTGTGGATGTCTATGGGCTCCAGTAATCACGTAACACCAGGTGGGCTGTGAGCTCGTTCACCCATCAAAGCAATATAAAAATTAAATCTCCTTTTTGTCATCGCACCTCCCGCCATCGGAACAGAGTTCATACATATTATCTGGAAACACTGCGTTCATCGAGAGTGCGTTTCCAAAGATCTTTTCTGCCACGTACCATCCGGCTTTGGAATGAACTCCCCTCCACGGTGTTTTCCGAGCGCTATGACATGTCCTTTCTCAAACGAGGCTTGCGGAGAGTACTTAACGGTAGGCAGCGGCTTGGCTCTGCCCCTGGCATTGCTGACGTCCATGGGCGACGGTAACCACTCAGCATTAAGTGGGCCGTATGCTCGTTTGCCTACAAGGGCAATAAAAACATCCGTAATGTATAATTTTGTAATGCGAATTTAAAGGTTAGGAATTTTATAGCCATGCTCGATTTCGTGAGTCCCCTTACCGTACCTAGCCTTGATTCCCGCAGTGAACCAAAGGGAAGTGGGGGTGACTGAAAATCAGCACTGTTCGATTTATCGACGGTGACCACTTACCATCAGGTGGGCCGTATGCTCGTCTGCCTACAATGGCAATAAAAATAAAAAAACATATATATTTAAAATAAATTCTAGAAAATAACGAACGTTTTAATTTTTCTCCTAATCGCTCCGAACTGGAACGACTTTATTGATTCAGTTGCAAAACAGACGAGACTGGATTTGTTACGGTTGCCGGCAATTCGTATATCGCGCTGTGTACATTGCCGCTGAAAATAAACACGGATACATCAATAATTCGAATGTCACGGCTCGTTGCCATGGCAGCGTGTTGAGAATTTTGTCATCTAATATATAAAATTATAAAGCTGAAGAATTTGTTTGTTTCTTTAAACGCGCCAATCTCAGGAAGTACTGGTCCGATTTGAAAAATTATTTCACTGTTAGAAGGAGTTCACTCTTTTTTTTTATTGCCCTCGTAGGCAGACGAGCATACGGCCCACCTGACGGTGAGTGGTTACTGTCGCCCATGGACTTCAGCAATGCCAGGGGCAGAGCCAAGCCGCTGCCTACCTACTCGTGAGGAGTTCGATGTGCAAACTGTCGATTGTTCAATGATTGAACGGTGACCGATGCTTAAAGGGCGTAAAAGCACCAAGGGTGGATCCGGGGATCCGATAAGACAGTCATGTGCTGGACGACGGCGGCTTTGCTTTGCCCCGTCGCCTGGATCGGATATTTCCATGCTTAGTGATAATGTCTTTAATAATAATAATAATAATAATAAACTGACAAAACTATACACAATAATAGGCCAGATATAACTCTAATTGATAAAATAAATAAAGTAGTGCATTTAATAGACATAGCAGTTCCTAACACCAATAATATACAGAAGTCAGTAGCTGAAAAAGTAAATAAAAATATACAGAATTAAAGGAAGAAATTTTAAGAATCTGGAAAATGAACAAAGTCTACATTGTACCACTGGTGCTATCCAGTACAGGCGTAATAACCTAAACACCTACTCCAATCTTTAAAAATATTAGACATAGCAGAGAACACGTACATGACCATGCAAAAAGCCGCAATATTAAACACATGCCGTATAGTCCGTCAATTCTTGCAGGAAGACTTAAATATTCTGCAAGTAGAAAATGAAGCTCACTTGGCATAGGCCCGTGATCTTCATTATACCGAAATATCTTAAATATTTCGAGAAACACAATACAAAAAAAAAGTAATAATAATAAAGCCCGTTTATTTCCAATCCATAATAATATCGTTATTACATGCGATTTATTATATACTAGGGTAGAATTTATTTCATTTTCTTTTACTTGCTATCGTTACTCTCTTCTGTACCATTGATCGGAACTCCTTCTCGGGTAAAGGCCTCCTCCAGCTTCTTCCAAACCACTTTGTCCATGGCTTTCTTTTTCCAATCGCTTCCTGCTATCGCTTTTATATCTTCTATCCACCTTTTTCTAGGGCGCCCTCTTCTTTTTCCTCTTGGTCCTTTCCACATAGTTGTCTGTAATGTCCCGGCGGACATTACATCGGATATGTATTTCCATGCTTAATGGTGATGTCTTTATCTACTGCTAATTATTTGCGTTAGAAGTGATAAGAAGCGTTCAAGGTGCGCTCACTATAAATTGCAAAAAAATTCCATAAGACATTTAATAAAAAAATTTACAGAATAGGATGCGTTTTGAGGTAAATAAACTAGTCGAATCTCGCCGCTTCACGTGAAAGCAGTGCAAAGAAACGAATGTACTTTCGCGACGATAAGACTTTGTTGTTTATTGTAAATTAGAAAAATGCAATCGATCGAGCACTTGTACATTTGTTAATTGTTTTTGGAAGTTCAAACGAAAGGTTATTGGTTCAATTACTACCTGTTCATAGATTTAAGAAAACTGTCAAGGAACGTTTGTGCAACAAGGCATATTATAAAGTTAAGGATTATCTGCTAGATGGCACTACGTGGGAATGAGGCGTTCGATCCTGGCCTTTTTTTTTCATTATTATTATTATTTTGTAATTGTATTTGTTGACATGTTTTTTCGTTTATTGCAAATATTGATACTTATTAAAAAAAAAAAAAACCAAAATATTTGAGAAAAAGCAAAAAAAAAGGCCGCTGAGTTTGTTTCGCCGGTTCTTCTCAGGACTGTGGCTTTTTTTGGAACCGGTGGTAGAGTTAACATTGTTATTTATATTTTGACATTCAACAAGTGTGTTATACTGACATCTAAGTTGAAATAAGTGATTTTGAATTTGAATTTGAATTTGGTGTAGCGCTGTCAATTTAGGACAGAACGCGCACCAGCTTTTTACTTATTTATAACATTATGGGTGCTTATCATGCCCAACTGATGCTAAATGCTGTACATCGATATCACAACGTGGACACCTCCTCAAGTGTATAGAATTTCTGGTATAGTTTAACAATAAATAGCTGTCCCTGCAAACCGCATTATTGCTTCACAGCAGAAATATGTGGGCGAGACAAGTGGTACCTGCCCGTGCAGCTTACAATTTGCCCTTCTTATTCTTCTTCTCAACCGTGTTACTCTTGGTAGAGTGGTCGTCGTAGTCATGTAGTGTTGGAGAGGGTAGACTTCATGCGTCTCGCGATGTCCCGCCATCTTTTATTTTTTATTGTATAGATGGTTGGACGAGCTCACAGTCTACCTGGTGTTAAGTGATTACCGGAGCCCATAGACATCTACAACGTAAATGCTGCCACCCATCTTGAGATATGAGGTCTAAGGTCTCAGTATAGTTACAACAGCTGTCTCACCCTTCAAACCGAAACGCATAACTGCCTCACGGCAGAAATAGGCAGGGGGGTGGTACCTACCCATGCGGACTCCCAAGAGGTCCTACCACCATCTTTCCCTGCTCGAGGCCATCTTACTGCACTAATTTAGAGGACCTCCCACTGTAGCTGTAAGTTGATTGGTCCACCGCATCGGTGACCGCGCGGTCTTTACCATCCACTCGGCCATCACCAACGATACGCCCTACCACCGGTCATTTCGTCGTGATTTGATGTCTGAGACTAATTTTATATTGTCGTTTTTGTGTTTCAGTCGTCAATAATGGGCGGGGTGTCGACCACGGGTGGTGGGCGGCGAAGGTGGCGCCGGCTCCGTAGCATTTTCGCCCTTGTCTTCCGCAGGAAGCGTAGACACCAGCACTCCTCGCCGTGAGCGTGCGTCATTCTCCAAACGGATACCGTCGCAAGCCGCGACTCGCGACCTCCCGTGACAGGCGACGAAGCCTCAATGATTTACATTTTTCAAGTTTCAGTTTTTCTATTAAATTAAAATCGACGAGAAAGTCATTGTGATATATTTTCAGAAGTTGTACGGTTATAAAAAAAAATTTTTTTTTTGTTAAATTGAGAGTGTATTTACAGAGAAAAAAAATCGCCTAGTGAAATGTATGAGCAATATTAAAATTTGGTGCATATGTTATTTATTAGTCAACAGAAGTGTTCTTCAGATTTAATATATAAATTTAAAAAAAATATTATTATTTGAGTCTACCGAAAAGTTTTTGAGCGCATATGAAAAAAAACGAGAGTCTAAAAATTACGTACCGAGTAGGTATAAAGGATTCGTTATTTTATTTATCGGTGTTGCCATAATCTGAATAATGATTCGAGTGGCCATTTATGTGTTCCATAAAATTTTATGCATTTATAATTTTTAAAACAGGAATAAAATTGATAAGACAGTGTCTTTAATTTTACAGATTATACAATAAGGGAAAGAGAGAATTAAAAAAAAAACGACTATATGACCACGAGTGTATTATGTGATAAATAAGCGTATGACAAAAAAAAAAACTTCACGCGTAATTCTCGTTGAGAAGTATTGAATTGAATTAGCTTAGCTGTTAATGTAGGTGCCTGACCTTCAACGAATATGCCACAACCCTCTACCTCTAAATGATTCCTATATATAAAGTTAAATCGTCGTTTAGAACCTTCCTGTAGAATGTTTATCGTAGTTAAACTTTAAGGCCTACGAAATAAGACCCCTTTTTAATTGACAAAATTAATTTACTATACGACCAATTTAAAGAAAATTATCCACAGAATAATAATTGGTGGCAATGTAAAAAAATTATTCAGTGATTGATTGTCTTTGGAATTCTGATGGAATGTCAAAGGGATTTTTGCGAAGAACATGTAAACCGAAATTTGCTATAAATGAGTCGACTAGTATCAAAGCCGGCAATGTGACTTTTGGACAATTATTGGTAAATCAGAAAAACGAATTATTGACTTTGTATTCCATTGGCAGCCACAAAACTCTTCTGAATGACATCTTAGATAAATAACAGGTTAAGTATTAACCTTTATTTAATGCAGGTTTTGAACCGTATTCTTTGAAGGAGACGATTATATTCAAATCAATCTGTATTGACATATCAATATCATTTTCTTGTTCAAATGCACAGATTGCCGCCTTTGATAATAGACGACTCAAATACAAGACACGTAAAAAATAATGTAATAGTAAAAATAATGAGGTAAATTGAATTCGCACGGATCGATACCGTCGTTCTGCGTACTTCTATCGCGAAGCAGTTTGTCAAAATGTCGGCCGCTTCCAAAAAATAATTAAGTTTTTGATCTCGACTCTATGGCTTTTCATAAATTCATAACATTTGACAGCAAAGTAAGAATGACAGAATGATGAGCCTCATTGGTCGATTTCAGTTCGGGATTGCTTACGTCACGGCTTATGACAAATGTTATTGGCTTAAAAAAGTTAATGTGTAGGTATCGAAGTAAAATTTATTATCTGTGGATAGTTTTCTTTATTCGCTGTTGCGGTGTAACAAAAGCTACTTAGATTTTACAGAGTGTTTCATCCCGCTCGCACCCCGTATTGCGAGAGTAGGATAGATGTCAGTAAGGGCCAATTACCGTATTTAGTGTTAGTACGAAAAGTGATTGAGATAATTTTTGAACTTAATAGTCATGCCTTAGTATCAGACTTAATTTTAGATTTTAATTGAAGTTGTACTTAAAAATATTTTACGAGAGAGTTATTTATTATGTTATTCGTTAATATTATTCGTGAAATGCGGTAGGAAAATGTGATTTGATAAAGGTTATGTGTTTTTTTTTGTTTTTGTTTTGTTCTGTGATTAAATGTTTGAGTTTTATCTAGGCGTTTACATAATGTTCAAGTTATTTTAATAGTTATCATTTATCGACGGTCCATACGTATAGAAAGAAGATTTTAAGTATTTTCATTTTTTAAATTGATTCACTCTATATATAAAATTGAAGATGACAATTCACGATACTATTTCTTTGACGCAAAGGGTGTTTAAAAAAAAACAACATTAAATTATGTGTTTACATTTAAACTTTAAAATTTACAACATAATATTTTTTTAGATTGAAGCGAGCCGTAGACATAATTAAGATTACTTTTATGGTTTAATCTCGTGTTTTTTTTATTGTCATTATATAATTTCCGATGTTTCCAATAGTTCACAATTTATGTGGTCACAGACGAGCAAAGTACTTGTTCATATCGACAGAAGGAAGCGAAAATGTCGTAACTTGAAAAAGCCAACATTATACCAAAGCCATAAATCTATGTATTTATATTAATATAATCAGAAAGGCTTTAGATACCACACCATACCAATTTTCAACTTCTACAATATAAATATACTATCTATATACTCTAGATACTTGAAATAGTTTTAATGCTGTGTGCGCTGAGTGCGAGTTTTTTAACGTTCTCGATAGCGTAAAAGTTAACACCAATTTGTATGAAGTTGGAACAGCGCCTCTAGCGGCAAACGTAGGCAAAAGTTTCAACTCCATACAAGTTTGAGTTAACTTTTACGCTATCGAGAACGTTAAAAAACTCGCACTAAGCACACTGGTGTAAAGTTGGCTTTTTCAGTTACAACAATTTCGCTTTCTTCCGTCATTATTAGTAACCGCGCAATTAGTTTGCATAATACTCAAATGTCGGCGAAGACTTATTTATAAATTTTCTTTGTTCGGATGGACCGTCGATATTCATGCATAATATTTAAACAAAAAAAAATTGTAATTGAACTTAAAATAACGTACCTGATTCTTGTTAGATTCGCAAGCCACAGATCGATGTGGGAATATTGATGATCTTCAACTGTTTTTTTTATATAAATCCGATCTGAGCAAAAAATAAAAAAAATCGTAGAGCTGGTCAATGACATCATTAATACGGTAGTCTTAACACGTTCGCTGCTATGTGTCCTACTGTCAATCAGTGCATGGGTAATTTTATTCCATTATCATATTTAAAACGTTCCTTCGCTGCTTTGTGTCCTACCGTCAATCAGTGCATGGGTAATTCTATTCCATTATCATACTTAAAGCGTTCCTTGCCATGCTACTGCTATGAGGGTTATCGGGGTCTAACCCAATCCCTGTAGACTAAATTGACTTGTAGTGTTATGATCGATTGTTTGACGCCAAACATCCAAGGTAGTTATTGGTTGTCATTGGCAGTCTAGTAGTGGTGGTCAAGTCATGGATATTCAGGACATGGATAGTCAAGTCATGTATAGTCAAGGTAGTCATTGCTAAGAAGGATTTGGTTTGGATAAGTCGTCGGTGCCGCGTACCTTGTAACCCTTGTAATAATTGCACTTAACACATTATACAATTCGTCTTCTCGCATTAAAACTGTATAATCTCAAAACTTACTAGACTTTACAGGAGAGTGTTTTAATATTTTTAATATTAATCATCTTTGCAACATTCATTTTTTAGTTTTTACCAGTTATATTATCTGTCTTTTAAAGTAAGATAAAATTATCTATTAATTTTGTTAATAGTAGTCAAAATATAGGTAAACTAAAAAAAAAAAAAACTGAAATTAAAGTACGCTCGAAACGCTCTTTTACTCATAAATACTGGTGATACCAAATGATTCCGCATATTAACTCAATTTCGAATATTTTTGGAAATTGTACACTTTTAATGCGAAATGACGAATTGTGGCATGCCGCCCGTCGGATTGGTGACGCTGATAAAAAAAAAATTAAATTTATACTTCACTCACGGGTTAATGAACTCACGTCTCATCCGCTGTTAATTGGTTATCGAGGCTCAGAGACTTCAAAACGTCATAACCACCATCGCCAACCGCCTTGAAGTTTAAAGTCGTGTGAGGACATTACTTAATACCCACTAACACATAACGCAGTGAACGTGTTAAGAATTACACATAACCAATGCTTGTTTTTTTGTTTTTCTTGTTCTTTCATGTTGAGTTTATTGAAAATGATAAATACATTTTTCACGTTACCAATACGTTTAGATTTAGATGTAACAATTAGTATTGTACAAAAAACGAGGCCTCAGAAACATTTTTATGCTTAGTAAGGATGTCTTCCGCATCGTGGAATCCATAAGAGCAATAATAAATTATATATTGTAGTACGTATGTATGTATGTATACATTGAATATTTTTNATGTTGAGTTTATTGAAAATGATAAATACATTTTTCACGTTACCAATACGTTTAGATTTAGATGTAACAATTAGTATTGTACAAAAAACGAGGCCTCAGAAACATTTTTATGCTTAGTAAGGATGTCTTCCGCATCGTGGAATCCATAAGAGCAATAATAAATTATATATTGTAGTACGTATGTATGTATGTATACATTGAATATTTTGGAATGTTTTTAATTTTTATTTAAATTCAGTTCCTTTTTACTTAATTCAAATATGTAAACAGATTTGAATAAATATCGTGCGTTCATATTGAGCAACCCTATTTCTATAAGTTGCAGTGGTAATTTATTTCTAAGCTGCAATGTATTTTGATAGAAAGCGTTTAAGGTCATTGTCCTGTGGCGCACGAATACAACGATTGCGAAGTTGTTCCGTTTGTTGACCTCTAGTTTTGTACACGTCCATTGCGAGTTCAAGAAATATGGAATTATGATACTAAAACTGAACATTTTGTGTGTTTGGTTTATTGTTTACTTAAGGTTGTCTACTTATTAGTTTCTGTTGTTGTTGACTTTGGCCGCGGACATCTACAGCCTGTTTATAAAACGTATTTTATGTTTGCAAGATCGAAATTATTTAATGATTCTATTTCGCAGTTCAATGCGAATGTTGGTATCAATAACTTCAATATCCATAGTGTATTCTTTGTTTAGCAAAAACCAACATGGCCGATAATTAATTACATTTTGAAAAATTAAATGAAATCATTAATTTACTCTTTTTTTGTCTGGACATTAAAAAAATGTGATAGTTAACATGCTTATAATATATCTGCTATGATATAATATGGATCTACATTGAGGCCGTCAGCGTAAAAGTGACCTAAGCTTATCATAGCTAGTATGCAGATAATGAGGTATGAATTTATATTTACATACTTCGTAGCGAAAAATAATTCGCGCAAAAATAATGTTTAGAAAGCCATCTGTTATCTATGTGCGAAACTAGGGATAAACCGTTTTTGCATCAAAATTTATTATGTTTTAAATAAATTGAAATATATAAGCACGAATATGAAAAATTTTGGGTTAGGCCACTTTTACGCTGACGGCCTCATTATCGTAAATATGGCAGTATGTTCGTTGTTTCTGGATTTTCTGCACTAACAGAACACTCAAATGGACTTGTAATTTATGGACCCGATCCTTACGTAAGGAACTGTATTTATTTATTCACAATTTCTTCGAAATACAAATTGAACGCGGCAGAAGCCGCCGCGCCAGTCACGTTTCAATATTAAAAGTGAATGTAAAGTCAAGAATAACATTGAAAATTGCGACGTGCATATTGGAAATGATTAATGTTTTTGTGTACCGTGTGAAAAAAGGAACTGAATTTAAGACGTTGAAATAACAATATTAATATTATATTTAATCGTATAGAGTTTATTGTAGACGTTTTATCCGTATAGATTTAAATGAACACGTCATATTGTCATTTTACAACAAAAAATGTTTCATACATTGTAAGGGGGTAATTTAATGGAAAGGTTTCATCAAAAAAAAAAACATGGCAGCTTTGTGAATTGTCTCCTATGGTTCAATATAATGAAATGAGAGTACAATTAAAATAAAATGATTAGTGAGATGTACATATATAGACCTC